GTTTAGCGCAATGCGTAAAGTAATCCTACAGTCTTGTAGGCGCTTTGCGTTTCACGCCAACCGCTGCTGACGGTGTGAAGTGCTATAAACCATTTGTGCCTTATAAAGACTGCCAACGATGTTTTTTCGCAGTTGTCTACTTTTCTTATTCAGCGTTTACGTCTCCAAACGCATCGTTGCTCCTTTGCCGCGTGGGCGTATCTCAATGGACCACTAGACAAGGTACGAATTTAAGGATTCTGATACATGTTTCTAAACCAGAATTTCGCGTAGAGCACGATTCGCGCTACGAAAATTACTGAAACCAACTCCTAACGAAGATATTAACGTTTTTATTTCACATTGGTTACGAGGAATTTGAACTGCCCGCTCACAAGAAACTCAAAGCTCTACGTGAGTCAAATCGCCCACTACAACGGTTTCAGCAAGCTCCTCAATCGAGCAATGTTCATTTCCCACCATGTGTTGTTCAAACTATTAGCAATTTGCTATAACTGAGCCAAAGCGTCAAGATTGAGGTTGCTAGATTTTTATATCGCAGAGACTGTCATGATAACGTTTAGCGCGCGATATGAATCACGTAGAGCATTGAGTTTTCATGAGCGGGTGGTTTGAATTCACGCATCAAGAATCAATAAATATCTTCGTAAGGAGTTAATTTCGGTAATTTTCGTTGTGCGCAACGTATTCTACGTAAAATTTTGGCTGAGAAACATGTATCAGAATGCTGAATTTCATACCCTGTCTAGTGGTCCATTGGGCGTATTTATGGTAAAAGGTTACATGTGCATAGGGTTTACGTGCAACATTGTTCCTTTAGCATAAATACGTCCAATTGGCCGTGAGCCCTAGACTGAAAGATTTATATGTCAAACAGGACTCATTTTGAAATTGAGAGGGATAAGTCAGAGGAGCGACGATGTACACGTTCGAAAAAGCGTTAGTGCTGAACGATTATGCCGATTTGCGCATAGTCGCGTGCTCCTGGATCTACGAATGTTGTTACCAAAATCTTTGTAGCTTCTAAAAAAGTAAAGCATACGCCTGAAAATTGGACTTGCGTGTTACCTTTCAACTTAGCATGATACACTCAGCACTTAATTTGAGAGAGTAGAACACTAAGCAGTGGCCAGAACTGTACGTAACAAGGTGGAGAAATGTTGCTGGGTCCACACCATTTCGCGGGGAAATCAAAGCCAAGAAGTTCCAAAAATTATGATTGGATTCGAAAATAATTTTATTTTACTCAGTTTCCTACTGGTACTCATTAGAGTTAAAAAAAAAATTACTTTTGACTCTAATTATAATTTTTGGAACTCCTTGGCTTTGATTTCCCCGCGTAATGGTGTGGACCCAGCACCATTTTTCCACCTTGTTTGTTAAACTTAATTTGATACACTTCAATTTGACATATATATCAGCTGCATATCACCACAATCTCTAAAAGTTCCTTCATTAGGTCGGGTATGCAATCTCGTCATCAAATAATTAAAATAAATGTATCGAGATTATAGCAGGCTTCCGACCAAGGTCAAAGGGACAAGCTAAGAGGCACCCTTACTTCAATTACTCAGCCGCCGATCATCGCAATCATTCTAGGCTCCTCCCTCCACTTTGTAAAGTATCCTCAATAAATTCATTCAAAAAAATTTCCCCCGCGAATTTCTTGCAATCCCTAAATCACATAAAAGTACACGCAATTTCTACATCATTGTTGCGAAAAAAATGCGATTTTTACATCGAAGTGAGCATGATAATCATAAACGTCGGTAATCTAAACTCGGAGAAAGCCTAAGATTCTCCTTCAATTTCGGCTGATACCGCATACCTACTCCGGAGTTTAAATAGTTGCTCGCTTCCAGGGTGTTTAAGATTACAGGCTCGTCAAAAGCAGTTACTGTACTTCCAGTGCATTCCCAAGAAATCCAGTACCTCCTGAAAAAGTATTCAGTATTTTTTCAATTGGCACCTCCATTTGACGAAATTCTCGCTCGAATTGCGCCAAAATGACACATAAAACTTCGTTAATGCACACTAGAAAAAACTTGCGGGATATGTGGACATACCGTCCGCGTTCTGGGCTTATTATAGACCGAAAGTTTCGGGTGCTGGAGCCGTAGCTTCAATAGCTCCAGGTGCTAACCCTGGAACTTTCGGTCTCTGAGCCCGGAATGCGAACGGTATGTCTACATAGCCCGTAAGCACGGCTTCCACGGCCGGAGTTTTTGGTCAGTGATGGCTTGAGGAACTCCGCAGTCTAAAATCTTGCAGGCAGATACTACTCTAAGAATCAACGCGCAGGGTATTGCATACTTTCCAAGCTTCATTAAAAAACACGCGTGGCATGAAGGGAAAAGTTCCGGACCTATTCTTGAGGAATTTCCACACTTCTTCAGTACTTCCGGAACGCCCTTAAAAAATCCGGACCAATAGACACACCCGCCTGCTCACTGGGCGATAACCTTGAAATGGTGCTATGTTTCCTCTGGCCGAATTTGCGGGAATCTTACGACCAACGCGATTAGGAAGAACTCGCTTACTCGAACGAGCCATTAGGAAAAGATGGACATAGACTGAAATCTCGAATATTTTGATGTTAATTCCGTCCATTAAAAAGACGTTATTCTATCTCCTATTAGATTTGTACTCTATCAGATGTGATTTTTTTTTGGGTGATACAGTAGTGAATAGCATGTTAGACGATCAAAAGTGGCGAAATTTCGATTCAGGCCTCCCCTTCCATAGAGGTGAACGGAGGGTTGTGAGGATTCGCACCTTCACTGCCACATGATCACACCACACACTGATGCCAGATTTCAGATGCGTACCAGCGTCATTTTGCTTGGAGCGGGGAGGGGGCGAGGGCCCCCTTACTACCAGGAGGTCTCTCTCGGAAATTTTTTGAAGTTTTAAATCTATTGGAACGGGTTTCGGGGCTTCCGTGACGCAGAATATATGCGGAAAAATTACGTTTATTTTTTTACTTTTAGCATACGGTACTTCCTATCCGTCGCATTCAACACATCTGGAAAATATTTGAACAGAATGAACACGGTGTTTTTACAACACAAGTGGAACGCCAATATTTCCCCTCATTTCCGCGTGATACCACATCACGTACCTACTCCGCGGAGTCCGAAAGGAGGAGTTTCCTTCAAAGCGGCGTGATACCACATCACATACCAACGCCGCTGTACCAGTAATTCCGCGCTTGATTTCAGAGTGGGTCGCTTGCACGCTTGCACGCAAGAGATACAGCCGACTGAATACTCTTTGTAAGAGTAAAGTGACTCGAAAATCAAGTTGGGCACATCAAAAAATCTGAAATCTGCGTGTGGTTTGTAACACGCTTTTTCAAGTTTCCCGCGTCAACGGGCAGTTTTTCTCAGTCGCCACCAGCCAAGTTTAATTCTTAAAGTATTTTGATTCTTAGCAAATTTTCCCTACCAAACGAACATTGAACTTGAGGCTGGACGATTCGAAACTCTTCCTTTATTCATGCATCAATAACTAGTAGAATACGATGTCATTATTTGAAATGAACCGAACTACTCTGAATTTTCTAAAATTGATTTTGTATAATCGTCTTGGTGTTGACAAAAATACGTAACTATTATTCGAGAATTTTATTATTAGTTACTTTTTGACGAAGAAATTCAATGCAATAAAGGCGTGGTTTTTTCAGAGGAAGAATATCGCATTCGATACTGATATCGAAACTACACTCGAATGCTATATTTTCCCTCTAAAAAACCATGCCTATATTACTTTGAATTTGTTTGTCAAAATTGGTAAGTGAAGTCTTTAGTCTTCTGACAACAGAATTGAGATCTCAAAAATTCGAGAAAAATGACGAGTAACTGAAAAATAGAACCAATCGATGCGATATATCGCATGTTGTTTTGACACAAAACATGGCGTACATCGAATCACCTTTAAGGAGGACGCGACACGCACGCACGAATTGTACGTTTCGGAAACACGGCAAAAGTGTAATCTGCGTAATCTGAGAGTGCATTAGTTAGAAGGATGCGCATTTGTGCAGAAAAATGTTGCAAACAAATATGGGAGCACACATGGGAAGACATGGAAGAATAGCAAAAGGGGAAAAAAGACTCAAAAAAATATGGACGATGATGAGAACGAACCGGAGTCGTTCGTCTGACTTATCGGCTTGTCGATGACGCGCAAGTGCAGGCTTGAGCCCTCAGCACAAGCACCAGACGACCGTGTAGCGAAGACTGACTGGCTTTCCTCCAGCATCGGAGCAAGTCGCCCAGCTCCCTACGCTCGGGTTGGCCGGCGGCGCGCATTTCCCAGCGGACATCAGTATTTTTCCTAAAGTCGGTGCTCCTCCTGACGTTGCCAATTTCCCCCTGTAATGATGAATTGTCTGGGAAAATTGGGCGTCTCCTCACAATGAGGCAGAATTGATAGAAGTCAGGAGTTGGTATTAACTGTCTTACTCAAGAGAATTCTTGAATCCAAATTCCATGGTTCACATGGAAAAGTGCTCATGTAGAAGTAGCAGATTGGCTTACTAACTAAATGTCTTAAAGTGATTCGTAGCAGAGGTGTGCTTAAAAGCCAAGATAGTTACGAATGTGAGTAGTTCAGTCAAGTTTGCGGATGACTGAAACTCTAAACTATACTTAATCTTGACTACATAAGATCTAAAGTCTGACCGTCAGAATTTGCCATAACTACACACATTCCTTGTAGGTTACCCGATATGAACTCACACAAGTCATTCGCCTAGAGGATAGCTGGAGTGGACCGTGATAAGTTTTGGAAAATAAAGTGTCTTCGAAAGTAAAATACTTCTCACCGTGCACCACAGCGGTGTTTCCTTTCAAACACTAGGATGCAGCGACGGATAACACGACAGGTGTACACTTACGGCATACCACGATCTCCGTCACGATACGAAAACAAACTCTACAAACCATGGATGGTGACTTGACATCCAAGGTAATGAGAAGAAAAACTTTTCGTCTTACCTTGGTAAACCACGTGTAAGCCGGTGAGCGAGGATTTGGGTTGGAAAGGCTCGTGGAATTCTGCCGGAAAACGCAGGTGCGAACTGACTCAAGTTCAAGGTATTCTGCCTGCACTTTGCAATGGTCACTCACGTTCAGCAAGCATGAAATGGCCCGCGTCGCGTTCACTGAATTTCTTAGCGATTTACTATAGAGAGGACGGAAACTTCACGATCACAAGCACTTTCGGTGTGAGCTGCTAAAATTGGAGGAAATAGACTCAAAATTTAATTTCAGATCCAAGAACTCGTCATAACTAGTCGCGAAAGATGGAACAAAACAAACACACAGGCACAGGACCCCCTAGACTGACCATACCTACACATTTGTTTTGAGGTTAAAATACATCTGGTTGTAACGGGGAAAACCTGAAAAAAGCTATTTTTCACTCCTTAAAGTAAAATTTGACGGGGAAGGATTTTTTCCCTTAAACTTCAAGTATGAAGGCCTTGAATGCGTTTAACTTCGGCGGCTGAATCTGTTTCTGGGTGGGAAAAAAAAAATTTAATAGTGGAGGTACATACTACATAGGGACTGCATCCGTCAAGGGAATGGAGAGGAGGGGAGGGGGATGTGGTTATCCACTTAAATGTTTTAAATTCTCTGCCAGGAATGTGATTCAGTGGCAAATTTTTGGTATTTACGTTCCACGAATGTTATACTTCCAAGAAAAGATAACTTAAGGTCACCAGTCATCTCATGTTACTCTTAATTTCACTTATTGTCCCACAAGGTCCTGTGTAAAAACTCACAACCTGATGCACTCACACACTCACAGATGAGTTCCCAATGTTTAGGTATGGTCCAAAAGCTAACCAATAACCATGACCATCTCGGCAATCTTGGCCAATCACGAAAGACTTCCATTCGTCTATTCAAAGACCCCGTGAACCTAACACTTTCTGGCCATTCGAGTGCAAAGTGCGCCTGACGGTTCTGCAATATTTTATACCGCAAAGTGCCAAGGACTATTCTGCTAAGCCAAGGAGTGGGTCATTTTCATTTTCCTGCCTTATAAACTAGATAAACCAAAGAAGAACGTCGTATAAGCCTAGGTTGTCAAATTTCATTCAATACAAAATGAATTTGCAGGGAAACTTGTTTATAATTTCCTTCCATTTTTCAGGGAATTATATGTTCAATTTAATATGAAGTGCCTGTCCTGAAAAAATGTCTAGGAAAAATTCCCCTGATATACAGATATTTTTTCGGAAGAAATTTGAAGACTTCCAAATCTAGTCTCCCAGGAACACTGCGCTTAGAATGCCATTTTTCCCCCTTTTCTTGGACTGATTGGAATTTGAAGGAGAAAGAAAAAAACACCTGATTTGATTATTTTTACTTACAGGAGAAAGGAAAACACTCAGAATTTATGGCTACCATTACAGTATTTATTTTACAAGAAACTTTCATACAAAAATGCAAATATTTCTACACTCAAATTGCAATTAATAAAAGAGGCTCCACTTATATAGAGAGGATTGATTGACAAGATATCAGAAAATTCTTTTTTATGAAAAAAAGAAAAAAAATCACTTACATATATGTTAAATTGTTAGAGAAATTAACGGAGTCAAAAGAATTTAATGATTGAATAAGTAAAATTTTGGGGATAGACCTGCCATGAGCAATAATGGTACAAAATGGCATTTGCATTGATAGAAAAACGAATGCCACACGTGACAGCCAAAGTGATTTGGATAGCTTATAGATCAATCAATAAAGCGCAGTCATCAAACCTAGTTTTGTCATCTGACAGCCAGCACAATTTATAATGAAATGGCTTACATTTTAAAAACTAAGATGAAATTAGGTGGACACAGCTGGAAATGTCAATGTTCTGCTCCTTTCAGATGAATTTGGGGTCTAGATTCATTTAATAAATTCTGGTGTATGCAAAAGACATCAATGTATGACTCACATTCAGTTTGAAGAAAATGAATTGGATTTGTGCAATAACAAAGAAAACTGGTATTGAAGCACTCTCTGGAGGAAAGGTCCCCAAACAAACAGCAAATTTAAAAATTCCATCTCTCCTCAACCATAATCTTGCACTTTGAACAAATCTTTCTTCCAGAAATCCCCTCATGGTTCTAAAAAAATATGTATGACCCACAGGAAAAGTTACAGTTTCATACTCAGAAAAACATTGTTATACACTTTACAACTCACAGTCCTTCAGAAAAGTTCCTCAGGCAGAAGCTTACCTACAGATCAAATCTATTTTTAACGATCCAATGAAATTTAAAACCAATAAAAGCCATTTCATACTTTGTCATTTTTGGGAACAGAGATCGTATTGGATGTATCACACTAGATATGAATCCTATTACAAGTGAATTCGATTGCATTTCTTCTGCTAAAATAATTTACAGCGAGTGCGTAAACTTATGAACTAAATATGAAAAATTTGACTTACTCGAAAAACGAAAAAAAAAAATTATAAAATAAAAGATAAAAGGAAAATTAATAACTTAATTGATTCAAACTACCTATGATACAATATGGAAAAGAGAGGAGAAGGAGAAAGAAAAGGAGTTAAAATTGGATTACATTTTGCAATAAGGAACCACTATTTCTGGTCCATTTTAGAAACAACATACATGCCATTGGTTTCCCTAGGCAGATATGTGATTTTATAGGAGAGCCAGAGATAGTGGTTCCTTATTGCAAAATGTAATCCAATTATCCTATGCACAAATAAATAAAAAAGAGTCATTGCTGTACTCTGAGTTCCTGAATTGAGTACTCAACTATCATGAGAGCCATTTAATTTCAAGTAAACATGGAACATTAGATAACAAAAGTACGTTTTTTTCTTTTCTGAAGAGTTCATCTTTAGACAACAAAATAACAAGTAGCACTGATGTAGCTGAGTTTAATACAAGCTGCGGGCATTGAAAGACACTGGAGACAAATTTTTGGACGTTAGCTTGGTAGACTTCTCTTGTTCAAAAACTGGCTGATTGATAGGCTGTTCAATCATATGGGCTGTTTATTGTGAAATTCTAAATTTTCTTGTCATAACTGTTTCTCTTCATTCATCAGTCTTTAGTCTACGATGAACAAAACCATTTTCGTTTGTTACAAAACTTGAAAATGACACTCCGATTCAAAAGTACATACATTCTAAAAGTTTCACAGCACTAACCTTGTGGCTCTCACTTTAGAAAGGTTACACAGCCCTTATTACTTGACACATTCATAATGTGTATCCAGTAACTCATGAAAAAACAATGCAGATAAAGGATTAAAAGAAAGAAACGTCTTTGTCCTCAGGCTGAGGCTGGAGTTTCTTCAAAACTGTAAGCTCTGGTGATGTTCAGCAATAGCTACAGTCACAATTACATTTCGAGAGCTTAATACACAAAATCATCCACTCGGCAAAATTTGTAGACTAGAGATGCAGCAAAAATCAGGAAATTCTGGATGAACAGACTGACACCAACCCATGTATTTGATTTAGCTGCAGAGGAAAAAAAACAATGGTAAATTAGATGGTAAACGAAAATAGAGAAAAAGTGAAAAGCAGGTTCAAACAATAAGCCGTAAATCTTTATTTGTGCAGTCGTTTGATTAGATGCAAAAACAACAGTTTCTTCTAAAAACTGAGAGAGACTAGGTTACATGACTAGAATGGGGATGAAAATTCCCAGGAATCTGTGAACAATCCCACAGGGACGCAGAAAGTTCCTGGCCTTGCCATATTTTGAATTGTCCTTTCTATTTTGAAAACCACTTTTTTCAAAAATTTTCAAAGTGCTAATTTTTTTTCTTCAGGTCTAAACTAACTAACTGCCAAGATTTCACAGAAAACGCATGATTTTTATATGATGCAAATTGCCTTCCCTATTATTCTGTCGAAAAAGTTCTGCACCTCCTTAATTCCCGGTGGTGGCTCCTCCAGTAGGAAGTGTAGGCGATTTAGTTGAGCAAAAGCACCTATCCTTCAGAGTAGAGTTGGCTGGAGAGAAAACACAGTCAACAATGGGGCTTACTGCCAGGTGCAAGGATTTGTAAATTAATCACTGGTTGCAATGGCAAATTTCATGAAAAGAACGATGGCACCATAAAAAATCTTGAAATCAAATCCCAAACTTGGAATGAGCTGTCTTTGAAAGTCGGCATTTCGGGCGATTTTCAGTTGATTTTTGGAGGGTTCCCAATGGTGATTAAGGAAAATTCCTGTGACATCATGAACCTAAGTTCTTTGGACAGGACCATTTCCAGAAACAAAATGTTTGTTCCCGAGAACAGATATTCCTACACTAAATTATTGAGACTGTGATGTTCCTCTCTCCATCTCTCTCCTAGGGTTCCAGAGAGCAGGACAGCTCCAATTGTTCATTCACCCTCTCTGGAACATCTTGGCCATGAGTGGCGACTCAACATCACTACACCTCGTAAAGAGGGAATAGTTCTTTCAGTTCTTCCTCCTCCCCAAGAAAAAATTTCTACCCATAATTATGAATGTATTAAATCTTAATGCTCTTGGACAGCAAATAGAAATTAGAAAAAGCGAATAGAAATTGAGAAATCTGTAATCCTATAATCTGCTGATGGTAAAAAACAGCATTAGTGACAAAGAGAGATGTTAGAGGTCCTTAACTAATTTTTTTCTTTTTATAAAATCTTAATTTTCGTTCTTAAATGGTTTTCCAACAATTCCTATGTTAGAGGTCCTTAACTAATTTTTTTCTTTTTATAAAATCTTAATTTTCGTTCTTAAATGGTTTCCCAACAATTCCTATCAGTATATTCAGTAGACGGAAGAAATGCTTACATCCTGGTCCTAAGAAGTCTGCAATGAGAATCCAGCAGGATGCGATGACAGAGGCGAATCCGAGCACAAATCCCATGAAAAGCCAAGCTCTGGCACCACGAGAGCCAAAACAACCGCCCGAGTATGAGTCGCCTTCAATCTGAGCATTCGATACAATGTTCACCCTAAAAATAGAGAATAAAAAAAATAATTACCTACTTGCTTTTTTCTTGAAAAAAAAAATTACCTAAAAAGGTCTGCTTCACACTGTTCTTATCTACAAATTCACAGCAAAGCCATGGTCAGTGCTATGTCCCATCGTCCCGTGTTCATGAAGCCATAGTGTAGCCTTAGCCCAGCTATGTCTTTTCATATTGGGGATAAATAAGTACATTAAATGATGGTAAATTGATGAAAGGTGGCAGTCACGCAAAATAGGCCTTACAGTGGACCTTACATTGTCCAATATGGCATAAAAATTGGTATACAGTCAAGGTAGATCATTGCAATTTTCAGATATTACACTCTGAAGTTTCAAGCCATATTTTAAAATATTAATGTTGTTGTAAGCGAGGAAAGAAATCGTTCCTACAACTGGCAAACTTTAAGGGCGTTTTTAATATAATTCCCATTTTTTGTTCTCAAACCATTGATAGCTGCCAAAGAGTCAGTTGCCAGGATTTTTTGGTGCTTCTTGCGAGAATACAACATGGGAACAATGCAAATGATGCAGAATTAATCCCAATATTTAAATCATTTCCTACATCCTAAAGCTGACCGTCCCTGGCTCTATCAAAAATTTAACCAGCTTAATGAAAAAGCATAAAAATTATGTTAACTCTTAATACAGTTAGCAAAAGTTTTTACCCTTAAAGTCTACTCAAGAGGCTATGATTAAAAAACATACACTTTGAGGGAAAAAATAGATGGAAAAATTAAATGCAGGTGCAGGTGCATTTTTCATGCTAAAGTATCATAAGATGAAGTGAAACTGGAGGAAAATATGATGTAATCGCAGGCTTTTGGCATTGCATATACGACTTACATAATTAGGGAAATAGTACCAACGATTCCACACACATGATAGCCACCACTCATTTGATCTGAGTTAACAAAAGTAGCATCAATCATGAACCACCAGCCGGTGAAGAACTGAAACAAGACAGAGGGCAAATTAGAATTTAAATTATGTTTCAACCTTCTAAAATTACCAATGAGCAAGGATCTAGGTACTTATTAAACATAATTCAGTAACATCTAAGAAACCCTTGGACAGCTGCTTTAAAGGCTCCAGATATCACTAGAAACTACCGACTCATCTACTGCTCTTCCTTAACTTTTTACCTCCATTCTATTCTATCAAAAAAGTCTACCAAGTCCTGAACAGAATCATTACTGTAAACTGGAGGTATAAGGATGTGACATCCAATGCAGAATCACTGGCTCAAAAGCAGAAGACTACAACAGCACCAACAGGATTATAAGACTTGATCCGCTTGTAGAGATTGGACAGCAGTGAAGATTGTCTCCGCACTTGAGACCAAAGGTTGGGAACCATCGATTCGGCTTTATGATGAAAAGGAACTGCCTCTCCTTGAAAGTAAAGTTGTGAAAAAGCTGCTGCGTGAAATGAGGAGGCCGAAAGAGTGTGGCTAGGTAATCAGAAAGTGGTAAACCCATTCAATAACTTAAAATTCAGTCTTTGTTAGAAAAGCTTACCAAAAATCCTGCTGTGATAGCAGCTAGAGATGTCTTCCTACTTCCTCCGTCCTCAAACCACACACATGCGTGAAGGGGCACATTGTCTAAGCACGACATTCTCACTAGTAAGAACTGAAACACCGAGCTAAATTAAATATTTCTTGGTGAAAACTGAATTAATAAAACATTTTATGAAGTCCTCAAAGATGACAAAAAAGGAGCAAAATGACAGCTTCTTTTTGATAGACGCAACTCAACGGTGGCAGTCACCATTCAACAATATTGATTAAGTAGCCAACCTACAATGTTAGGTACTGCATCATGAACATTAACATTGAGCATTGATTGAGCAGATATACTGAAAAAAATCGATTTATACCACCTAATAATCTCATATAATCATGAATAAAAAATCTTTTGATGATTGAAAGAGCAAGTTTCCTTTAATAAACTTCATTAAAAAATTTAATTTCAAATCTGCAAGTTACTCTTTTATGTAAAAGTTGGTATCTAATAGCATATTGCATCATTCATCAGGTGTAATTATTTTGAGGTTATGTGTACGNACAAATCAAATGGAAATGGGCAGGAAGTCGCGGTTGACGAAAATAAAACTTGAAATTCACGTGCATTACGAAGGTGAAATAGGCCACATAACATTCCGCCCTGATACCGCCGGGACGCTATTGAGATAACTTGGCGTACACTGTTGCCATGCATATTAATTACCACACTCATAATGCCTAAAACAAAAGTAAATTGATTTTAGCAGAATTTTAATACTTACAAGGTTTTCCTCTTTCCACTGCCCTCTCCTCTGCCACAGTGCCACAGCAGGGACCAGTTCTATAGGACCCTGGACTCCCGTAAGAGTCAATGTAAAAATTCGTGAGCAGGTACTAGTGCTGCTATCGCGCGTAGGATCCTCGCAATTCACTGCTGTTATCAGTTGTTGGACTTCATTAAAATCCGTAGGATCGCGTATAACTGCGAAAAATCGAATTTTTCGTTGAACTCTTACATGCGGCGGGCCCTTCCTAGTCGAAAGGGGTCGAAAAACGCCAAAAATATACTTGTTTTTCAAGAATTCAGCCGCCTTATGTGTTATTTTTCAATCTCCGGCTTAACCTCACTTTTGGAGCGGGCGATGGATGAGTCGAGGTTCGGGGGGAAGGATCCTCTGAGTTGACTAGGATCCTACGCGAGAATGCGCTGCAATAGAACTCGTCCCTGGTTCTGTCCATACCTGTGTAAATCTACCTTGATGTGTACGTAAACAATGTGATTTCTCCAGCCAGCGTTTGTACCATCATTTATCGTCAATTTTTCGATTTTATCTTTGCTCTTTGACTGAGTTAGATCAGGATTGTGACATTTATTTTTATACGCATTAAGAGACAGAAAATTATGGTTGTCACCCCGGATATTGATAGTGTGTGACCAGGAGAGGACGGACAAAATTCGGGTCTTGCGGCAACTTCAAACACATCAAGAGTAAGTTTTACAGTTCTCTTCAGTTAATTGTGGCGTTTTTGTTCTGGTATCTCCCTAATTGTAAACATATCGTACACAAAATTCAAATCAATGTTTTCCTTTATTTTATCAGGTGGATAGGAATCATTGCTCCGTTGAACATGCCTGAAGTAGATTTGGGTTTCGCTGAAAAATGCCCCAGCTGGAAGTTGGAGAGTAGATTTTTCCCAAGCAAGATAGGTGGTGCTCCTGCATGGCTCAACTTGGCTGAACTTCCAAACCCTGACCAACTTTCCTGCTCCAAGTGCAATAATCAATTGAAGTTCCTGTGTCAAATCTACGCTCCGGTTAATGAGAAATCAGACTGCTTCCACCGCACAATTTTTGTATTTTTCTGTTCCTCAGCAGAATGTTCCAATGTTAATAGAGGTATTTATTTCTCACCTGAACATATTGTACTCAATTCATTTGTGCATTTCAAGCAGGGCAAATTATTGACGGCTTTCATATGAGCCTCTATAGAACCACTTAAAATTCTCCTCATTTGTGCTAATGGATTGCTACTACTCATGTGCAGCTCACTTGCTTTATTGTGTGAATTTGGAGGAATAATGTTACACCATACTTATGAGCATAAATTGAAAAATACTGCTCTATCTTGATTGAAAATATATAAGTGTATTTTTAAACCTCTCCTCCTCTTCACAGACCAAAATTGATACATTTCAAATAAAATATCTTTCTACAATGAAAAAAAAAAAAACAAATATTTCAAACCAAAAATATTGATGAATGTTTGACTACTCCATTCTCATGGTCCTTCCTACTTACCTGCAGTATTCCCATAGAGGTTGTACATCAGGATTTTACAAATCGTTGACAGATTGATTTGGTGGGAGGTTTCTGCCTGACACCATAAACATAAACATGATAACAGCATCTCAAGCAGAAAAAAGTGAAATTTACAAAATAAACTGCCATACTTAAGTGTAGTTTGATGCTGATCAAAGCTTAGTATTTTTAATACTGATGCTTCATTGTTTTCTAAGACCAATAATAAGGTGTTAAAATGGAAAGTCTCCTTTGCAATTTATAGAAATTTAGGGAGAATTTTCTAGTGCTTCAGTTCATACCTTAACTAGTGCCTTGTTGCATAACATCTATTGAGAAAAAGGCTCGGTTTGAGTTATTATCTTTTTGCATATATTTCAGGTAGTTTTAAAGTATTCCGATGCCAACTTCCCCGTGAAAATGCGCATTATCCGTCTGAGCCATGTCCAGAAACTGAATCAGCAAACAGTGATTTGACTCCAGAGAAGTTTGGGATAAGCCTCTGTGCTGTGTGTGGTGTAAAGGGGCCATTTAGCTGCAGCCAGTGTAAAAAAGTGCACTACTGCAGTAAAGAACATCAACGGCTTGATTGGAAAGGCAGCCACAAGCAAGCTTGCAAGACTGGCCAACAGAGCTCCGTCAAGTCAGAGTTTCTCTTACCAGAATTTGAGATTGTGATCGAGCCTGACGATTACTCAGATTCTGAGGCAAGTAACAGTGACTCTGAAGATGACAATAAAACTGAGGTCAACCAAGAGCTCTTCAGGAAAATGATGGAAGAGGGAAAAGCGGGTACCCTATCAGGTTAGCATTAGTTCACTTTTATCAGACATTATTAATTTTAGACAACAGAGAAATCAAATTAGCACTCTCCTCAACTTCATATGAAATCTTGCAATGAGCTCTCTGGGCGAAGTCAAGATTCACAAAAGATAGTAGGTGCTAAACTCACTATCAATGCATATTTTGGGCCAACTGAATTTCGACAGTTACTTATGGGTGCATCAACTTCGGTAGGCAATAGCAAATTCCTTTCCCCGTAGTAAGAAGATTTGGAAATTCTGGTGAGTAGATTGCAAACTCACAAATTGCTTTCACACACACTAAATTTGTGGACACAACTTGAAACTTCCACTAAGTCAAAATCTCCTCAATATTGCCACAAGTACAATGCACACGAGCTGATTTAAAACTGAAGGGACCAAAGATTTTTTTTTAAATGAAAAAAATTTGGATCAGCGAAAGCTCAGATGAAGTTTGCGAGGTTAGAAAGTGGTTCTGCAGAAATTCGAAACACCGAGATTCTCTAACTTAGATGTATGCTTAATGTTGGCCTACTTCTATTGGCCTTTGAATTTTAAATTTTTCCTTGTCTTAATTTGACAGATACCAAGGACGTTGATGATGATTTAAAGCAGATGGCTTTAGGTGAAGAGGACAAACAACTGTCCAAGTTCAAATCCATTGTGAAACGGTGCCCGGAGCAAATATTACGTTATCAGTTGGATGGCTCACCATTGTGGATTTCTGATAAAGATGTCCCTCAACCTGAAGACATTCTTAAATGCACTGAGTGTCATGGAGAAAGAGTTTTTGAATTTCAGGTGAGGCTACCAGTCATCAGTACACTTTTCTAAGCATGCTGTGATTATGAGAAATGAATAAGCCTCCTTGCAAAGGAGGTCTGTGGTAAATTTCCCTTATTTTTCAACTTAAAGAATCATTAAAAATTAGGACATTGTTTTACGCAAGGACAAAAAAAATTGAAAACACTGAAACCTACTTACAATGAAGCTTCATGTCCTCTCGGCAAGCCTCCTCAAGTTTCGAAGTGATACTTAAGGATAATCAAATGACATTCCTATCACAACTGTTGAACATTTCTTTGATTCCACATCATATCTCACACTCGCCATGATTCTGTGCTCTTTTGTTTGATGGGATCTGACTTTTGGCGAAATAGGGTACTTTTTACCTGAAATAGGATTCATCACTTAGTCTTTCTTGACTTGGTGCTGTGATGGCATAGGAGACAACCAAAGGTCTATGTCTTTTGTTTCAAAGTTCACGACTATTCTCTCAATATTCTTTCCTTGTTCCAAGATACTTAATTATCCCACTTAATAACCATTAAATTAACATCAGGTTTCATTTGAGGTCGTTTCTCCTCTTACTTTCAGATTTTCGTCTTGTTTGCTGTAAAGTGTGAAAGAAGGAATTTTTTCCACCTAAAGTTCTATTAATGCACTTACACTAAGTAATTGACTTTTCTTTTTCCTGCAAGAATTTTCTTAACTCGTTCACTACCTAGCTAGATTTTGTGTGTGTATGCCCTGCAATGGGACTTTTTTCGTCATGCAAACACAGATGTCGCAATCGTGGTGATGAAATGGTTAATTTAAATACAATATTCCTCCTTCCAAGCTCACAATCAGGTTGGAAAAAATTGAGAGTCAGAAGAGGAAATTGAGGACACCGCACCAAGAACAATCTATAGGCGTATAGGTCGTTATTACGCCAATCTGCTTTTCGGATTCTACGTACCCTGGACTATGCTGTGGTAGCGATAGAATATAGATAGGTAACGTCTCGAGGTCGAAAAACCTTTTTTTTTCCGAGGCAAGTCAGGCCTCTGGATCGATGGGTGCAAGAACGACCTAAACGCGCGGCCTTATCATTCTCGGTTAGCGGGCATCGGCGCGGCGATAGTGATGGCTCGATTTTTTTATCTCATTTTATAAAGATTTGTTTTTATTTCACAGAAACGAGCTATTGAAATAATTTATTCTCCTCTTAAACTATCCTTTCCTCCAAAAATGTATACTTCGCATTTTGCCACCAAAATGACTGTTGGGCGTAATACGGGCCTATAAATTTAAGGGCCTATAATGTGCTAGTTACCCCTCTCTATTCTCACCATCGATATTCTTTTATTTTGCGTTAATCATGCGTGATTAAAATGATTTATACTGCATATTGCCACCAAAATGACTGTTGGACGTAATAACGACCTATAAACCGCTTTTTTTAAATTAAATATATTAGAGTGTAAACCCAAAATGTATCGCAAAATCTACCCGGCATCCTTCAGTAGAAGGGTTAGGTCACCCAAAAACACCAAAACAGGGTACCTGCATAGAAAAGTCTGCGCAGTACATCAAAGGCAAAAGTTTAAATGCGTTTTTCTCAAAACGCGGTTTCCAGTTATAGGTTGTTCTTGGTGCAGTGTCCTCAATTGCTAGCTAACAATAAGCGTTTTATTCAGTTTCTATTACTCCTCATAACAAAATATTACTCTACTAGTTTTTGTCCTGCAATAGATACTAATTGATTACAATTTTATTTATGATATAATATTGTCCTGATGCCTAATTTGATTCTAGATCCTACCTCAGATGCTCAATCACATGAAATGGGATCAATTGAAAGAAGAAAGTATCGACTGGGGAGTCTTAGCTGTTTACACCTGCCAAAATAACTGTGTAACAGGTCCGGCTTACAAAGAAGAGTTCTTGTGGAGGCAGGCCCTGAGGTGACCTTCTATTAAAATTTGAAATTTTTTTACTCAATCTAGTTTTTTTATGTTCTCGTTATTCATTTTTTTTCGTATTAAAGTATTTTCTCTTTACTTTTCGAATTTATACAATCAAATCACACTTGATGCATGTATTTCAAGGAAACTGGAATTTTCCTTAATAAAGGAGGGGTATCGTTGAGGGCCTTTTTTGGCCCCACCCTAAAATTCCTCAACTCCGCGATTTTTTGGTCATTGAAGGTCTATATTTTACGGAATGCACAATGGTTTTGTCATTTCCGGTCTATTTCGGGGTCTACCACTGGCCTAAACATGGGTCTGAAGGCCAATTTTGGCGAAAAATGCGGGGTTTTCAGCATTCGACGCGCTGTTTCGTAACGATCCCTTCGGAGGACAAAAAAATCCTTCAAGTATGTTCATGAGGGATGTAAGAGAGTCACTTTGGCCAATTTTTGTCGATGTCAAACTTTGCGCTCATAGTTAAAAAAAACTTTTTAGAATTTTTCTTGTTTTTCATCATTATTTAAAATGGCTTAAAAAAGGCGACTCATCTTACACCAGAATTAAACTTTTTTGGCAGAAAATGGTCGTGGGTGGTCAAAACCTTCCTCTAAGAACTTTTTCCGATTTAAAGCCCCCCAAAAAAGCCGGTGTTGCCATATTTCATTGCCTAAAATCATAGAAAACCGAGTACTTCTTTCAGTATTTGGGGGCTATTTCTCGTCGAGCTCATTCAGAAAAGTCCAAAAACCTTCATTTTTCATATGTTATGGCCAAATCACCAGTAATTACATACATTTATCTAACTACGGAACCTCCCATCGCGGCACGGCGTTGCCACATCATCAGGGAAAAATCGAGAAAAAATCCACGTTTCCCTGGATTTAAGCCATTTTTTCGGATTATGCGGATGGAATAAAGTTGAAAGACTTAAATTGCAGTATTCAGAGATGCAAGTGGATCATACCTTGTGCCGGTATTCATTATTTTAATATATTGCGCTTAAAGACAACCCATATTCTTACGATTTCTAGGCACGATATTTGCGCAAGAGGATGCGACTTTCAAACATTGGCCGTGATCTGAAGTCCGAAAGAAAGTAAGCCATGTGTCAGAATCGCGAGTCCTCAATGCTGAATTTTTACCCGCCCTGACAACCACCACCATCCCCCCTCCCTCCCCCAGCCCTCTTATCGGCAGCGATTGTTCAGAATTCTGCTTCCCTAAATTAATTTAAAACAGTAACTTTTTATCTACTCCACCCAAAGCATTTATTATTGCATATATTATTAATATCGCATTTCGCACATTTCATTTAGCAACATTAAACTTGCATTTAAAATTGTCCTTACCCTCGAATAATACTGCTGCCCTCGTTGCCCCCTCCTCTCTTTTCAGGTTTCCCTCACTCCTCTCCAGTTGCATCTTCATCTGTCGCCTCTTCATCAGGTTCCTCGTCCTCTCCATCAGACCACTCATTTGGAGCTACCGTTGCGGAATCTTGAAGGAATGGCCCGTACTCATCTGACAAACGCTTGGTTTTTTGTGCTTCTGTCTTATGTCTGTGATGAGCGAGGTAAAAAAAATCAGGAAGTAGAATTCTGAACAATCGCTGCCGATAAGAGGGCTGGGGGAGGGAGGGGGGATGGTGGTGGTTGTCAGGGCGGGTAAAAATTCAGCATTGAGGACTCGCGATTCTGACACATGGCTTACTTTCTTTCGGACTTCAGATCACGGCCAATGTTTGAAAGTCGCATCCTCTTGCGCAAATATCGTGCCTAGAAATCGTAAGAATATGGGTTGTCTTTAAGCGCAATATATTAAAATAATGAATACCGGCACAAGGTATGATCCACTTGCATCTCTGAATACTGCAATTTAAGTCTTTCAACTTTATTCCATCCGCATAATCCGAAAAAATGGCTTAAATCCAGGGAAACGTGGATTTTTCTCGATTTTTCCCTGATGATGTGGCAACGCCGTGCCGCGATGGGAGGTTCCGTAGTTAGATAAATGTATGTGTGTGTAATGTGTACGTTAGGTGGATTACATTTAAATTAATTTAGTAGAATAAACTAAATAACTGAAGTTTTTAAAAAGGATTCATATGAAAAATGAAGGTTTTTGGACTTTTCTGAATGAGCTCGACGAGAAATAGCCCCCAAATACTGAAAGAAGTACTCGGTTTTCTATGATTTTAGGCAATGAAATATGGCAACACCGGCTTTTTTGGGGGGCTTTAAATCGGAAAAAGTTCTTAGAGGAAGGTTTTGACCACCCACGACCATTTTCTGCCAAAAAAGTTTAATTCTGGTGTAAGATGAGTCGCCTTTTTTAAGCCATTTTAAATAATGATGAAAAACAAGAAAAATTCTAAAAAGTTTTTTTTAACTATGAGCGCAAAGTTTGACATCGACAAAAATTGGCCAAAGTGACTCTCTTACATCCCTCATGAACATACTTGAAGGATTTTTTTGTCCTCCGAAGGGATCGTTACGAAACAGCGCGTCGAATGCTGAAAACCCCGCATTTTTCACCAAAATTGGCCTTCAGACCCATGTTTAGGCCAGTGGTAGACCCCGAAATAGACCGGAAATGACAAAACCATTGTGCATTCCGTAAAATATAGACCTTCAATGACCAAAAAATCGCGGAGTTGAGGAATTTTAGGGTGGGGCCAAAAAAGGCCCTTAACGATACCCCTCCTTACTGTGGGCAATTTCTACTGCCAGCGAGCAAACAACTTCAGAGTTCATATTTCTGTAATTCAAATCTTTAGAATGGAGATTTTGTCCATGATTCAGCAAAATTCAATGTAATCTGAAGAAAACAATCCAATAGAGGCGTCGTCAGCTAAGTTGGCACTTGTTTACATTCTGTTTGCAAGCGATCGCCATGCAGTCATCCAGTAAAAATCGAGGATTGACTGTGCTCACGATCGAGCTACAGTCAATCCTCCTTTGCTACTGGATGATTGTATCACAAGTTCTTGCAAGCAGAATATAAATAAGTGCCAACTTAGCTGAAGGCACCTCCATTAAGTGGAGGTTTGATCGGAGAAAAGTCCGGGAATTGAAAAATGTAAAAATAATGGAAATCCTGATTTTGGGTAGTAGTTTTTTTTCATTTACTTAATCAAGTAGATTCAAAATTTAACTAAGCACATTGCCCATCAGTTCGTTCTTGTACAGATGGACCATCAAAAAAATCTTTCCATAAACTTTTTGGCTGGTCCCAAGATGGAACTTTGTTCATTTTTTACCCAGATAATTTCTTTAGTTGTCCATCTGTAAAGTGATTATCTGTCCTCGAAAACAAGCAAAAATTGCCAATGATTAAAAGATCTAAAAGATGGTGTACAAATATTTGTTGCATCATGTTTGGTAAAAATGAAAAATTTCATTTTCCATTTTTTTAAAATTAATGAAAAACCTTGCAATCAATTGATTAGAACTACTGATGAAAAGAGTGGCGAGTGCAGTAAATGGATGAGATATTTTTTTTAAATACAGGCAAGCTACTGACCTTGTTCCCTGAAGACATGCTCTCTAAAACAATAAGGAAAATATGTAAATTTCATCTCTTTCAATACTTCTCAGAAATGGTTGAAACATGTTTTGACGGGAAAAAAATAGCAAGTATTGACCAAGACAGAAAAATGCACTGTTTTATTTGACGTTTTATCTACATAGACAGTTAGTCAATGATGGCTGGTTGATGAGAATATTTATTGAGAACACTTACTGACAGAGCTTTTTTTTATTTCACTGGAGCTGAGCTTATCCTTGGCAAAAAATCAGTGGTTCATATCAGGAAAGTAAAGATAGCTTAACTCGTACTGTTTGATGGGTTTTTCGGCCGAGTCCCTGAGCAAGCATGCGTACCAATTGCAAAGCTCACGCAGCTTTTTGAACGGTACCTGTGCAATAGCAGCGCCGTGGGGATAGTGCGAATGGGAGTCAACGAGTGTCACCTGGTTAAGGATGCAAAGAGAAACTCGTACAGAAATGAAGGCACAAAGCAAAGATCTGGCCATGAAGAGGTATTACAAAAAATCATCTTTGTTGTAACGGTAAAATGAAATCACCTATCCCATGGCCTTGAATTTAAGTCGATGAAAAATAGAAGTTTATCACTGGGAATCAATAATGCACGTGCATCACGTAAATTAAATTATGAACTTACCCATGGGAGAAAAAATCTTAGCCTGATCAAAAAATATAATTTATGAGGGTTTTAATTGAAAGCAAGTTAAGTTTGGCTGACCAGCCCTCACTGCCCTCAATATTTGCTTTCTGATCATTCGTCACTAAGGAAAGTGTAAAATTTGAAAACATATTTGAAGTTTCGTTTGAATTTTCGGTCGTTTTTGAGGCAAAAGATGCAGTGTCAATTCTGATGAGCATTGGAATATGGTTAAGTTCCTAACCTATTCAAATGCCCTTTCGTCCTTGACCTTGTCACTGTAATTTTAGAGTGTGCTACAAGCAATGGATGATGTTTCACTTACCGTTTCAGACTCCTTTTGAAAGAGCAAAACAACCGACCGGTTGAGCGAGATGACAATAACATATAAGTCAGAGCCCTTTTGTGAGAGTACTGTATCGTACCAAGCCATTACTTTGTTGCTTAAGTAGTCAAACAGCGAGGTCTTCATTCGTGACGATATGATAGTACTCTCCTGTCAGACAAATACAGAAGTAAACAAAAATCATAAAAAAAGTAAATAATCAGTTTAATAATGAAAATCAGCTGATTTACCATTCAGCATCCAAGCAAAATATTTTGCCTCTGGGTGCTCTGTTTTTCGGGTATCTCCACGATATCATGAGTCCTACACATTTTTTTTTTTCCTTAATAAAAGTGTCCAAAATGTGAAGTCTTTGTTTTGCATCATTTTTTTATAGTTTGTGCAGGCAAAATCAGAAAAAATAAAAATGAAACTAATAATAATTTTTCCATTTCCAATTGCAGACTATCAGACCAAAAATTGTATAACATCTGTTTGTGATAAAAAAAATGTGACGTTTCATTCCTGCGAGACTAAAAATTGATTGCATTTATTAAATTGACTATTTCCATCAAGTTCTTTGGTTTGGGCCTTTCAACACAAAATTTTGAATTTAAAATTCTAAAATTAAAATATTGAAATTGATTTCCTTAAATCACTCCCTCATACTCACCCATTCAGTGACTCTCTCGACATGGTGTCTGGTGGCATGAATGGCCTCTGGTACAGTCAAATTATCTTCAACAAGTTTGTTCTCTTTTCTGAGCCGCTCATGAATTGTATTACCTTTAAAAATGGGCAAATATCAAAGAGAAAAAAAATAATTTGTCAGAAAGATTTAGACAGCTGTAAATTCTAATTTTTTAGAACTCATAAACGTTAAATGAAAGTCAATGGTTGGACTAGAGCAAACAGTATTATTTCAAAGTAGAGACTTCAATTCAGAAAACAGTTAGATAGTAAGACGTTCAGGGTTTCATTCAGAACTCAAGTATAATTCCAATTTCATTCACTTGAAAAGGGGGAAAAACTTTAGAGTGGTGACACTGAGGAATTTTATTTTCTTTCTGTCCATGCCGATTCTCGTAAGTTTGCAACTTCGGTTTCCATCAATTTACAGGGAGGAAAAAAATCATTGTCTGCTCAATGCTGATTGTCCATTAGAGCGCACTGATTTTTGAAATAGATAGACAAGTGATGGATAGACAAAGGAAAAATTGAGCAATCCTAATGGCTGTAACGGATGTTTGTTATAGACCAAGGGGGAAAATGATGGACTAACTATAGGGTCTATGATCGTAGGGTGCCATTAATGTATTACTTACCTATTTCGTTTGTTGAAACCACCTGCTGCCGCTGATGGGATCGCTTCATTTTCCCTTTGTTTTCCTCGCCCATCACCTAGTTTATCAATCTCAATAATTAGACTGCTGACCATACCTTCAAACCCTTCTGAAAGGTCTGTGGCTGTTAATATTGCTCGTTCTAGGAGACAATGTCCCATTCTATTGAGATAGTTCGAAGTTATGTTGCTGAAGCTTAGAAATATCGAATGAAAATTATTAAAGCATATTGTCAATTGACAACTAATTAATTATTTAAATTCTTGTTTTTATACCAGACTCTCTTCATCCTTCATTTCATACTGTGCATTTTAAACTATTCTAATTAAAGATAAGCAAGAGAAGAATTCTTCTATTTACCTTCTACTATACTTTCAGCCAAGATGTTCATTAGAGGTTCCCAAGCCTCTTGCATCCGGATGTTGGGTAGCTTCAGACCTGTCTTGTGGACTTTGTATGATACCAATATGCAGATCAGTGTGCAGGCATTACTTCCTGAAACAAACCGCAAGTTCCAAAATCAACAAAAATAACTTGGAGAGTGGTTCGAACACAAGAAAAAGGTGTTCCTATAAAATTTGAGGCAATAGTGATAAAGAAAACTTGCGAAGTGTAATGGTTCAAAAAATTCTGCGGGTTTTAAATTATGTTACCGTTAATATTCCTCACATTCATTCTTTTTTTTATTCTTTTCTTTAATATACATACATTTTAAAGGTGATGTTTAAGAAATTTCACCCCTATCAGAAAGAAGGCGTTGATTGAGAATGGGAAGGAGTTTCAATAGCCTGATCAAAATACTTTGCACAGGACACTGAGAAAGTTGCAAAGGAATTAAAAGTTCAAAGCTAAAATATTTTCCGCCTGCTTTGTTGTATCAAGGAAAAACCCCATGGTATTTGAAAAAGGACAAATTTCCTGTAATCGATTCAAAGTTCCAGGTAATCTCGAGAATAGTTTTCTTTAAAATTTTCAAATAATTTAACCAACAATGGAATTTAGAAAATTAGAAAAGTTCAAGGAAAAATCCCCATAACTTTTCTAAAATATAACAATTTTATCAGAAGAAATTTGACAACATTTGGATGTCAATACAACGTTTTCCCTTAATACAGCAGGGCTGGTATGTCTCCTCACTTGAAGTCTTTTAAAAATGTATCCTAACAGAGAATTGAAGTCCCTGGACAGAAAGTGTATTACGTGACTAAAGAGGAAGGTTTTCCACCCCTGGGTGTATTCATTCCATTGGAAAGTAAAAAGGACCTGCAACAAACCTGCTCTGCGATCACCAAACTTGGACTGAGAAAAATTGGGAGGAAACCAGAGGATGGTGAGATTGCGAACGTAATTCATTCTGATTCCCTGCTCGTACTTCTCGATACAGTCGCGACACATCGAGTTCTTGTTGAAACTCATGCTGGCATCTACGCGACGCCCCACTTGTTGAAGCGATGCTTTATTGATGGCTTCTGCAGGATCACAGCAGGGAGTTTGGTGCTCACTTCGACGCATTCTCCTCTCCCTCAGAGCTGGACTGCTCTTGGATGGTCCTTCCTTCAATTACAATAAAAAATAAAAATACTTACTTGCCAAACTGATGACTTTTTTTTAGCTATACTAGATGAGTAGTTCTTGTAATTTTCATCTTTTAATTTGTATTTCCCTCGGAAAAAAAACTCACAAGAAGGTATTGATGTATGCAAAAAATGTGGCCAAAACGACAGACTGATAGCCACTGAATCGGCAAATACTCTCATTTTTAACGGATTTCACGAATCTACGACCTCAGCTGCTTATTTGCCTCTACCCTTTAGCTGGCACTTTTCGTGTCATAGTCAATAAATTGTAATTTGTCCTTGAGTTTTATGTCTATGCTGGTATTGCAAAAATTAAATTACTTTTTAACAATTAAAAAAAGTAAAGAATACTAAATACCGCTAACTCACTGGCCAGAAATAAATTAAGTGTACCAACCACTTATGGAAAATAAAACATTATTTTAAGATAGTTTAGTCATCTTCTCTTGCAGAAAGAATTTAATTTCAGAGTGAAGGCTCGATGGCCAAAGTATGAAACCTCGCATATCCATTGTGATATTTCAAAACTTCCGCTCCTATTTTATTTTTTCAAGAGGAAACAAGCCAAACTCAAGCCTTGGAATTATTACCGAATGTTCTCCTGACAGAGAAGAAAAATCAAGGTAGTTTAACTAGCTTTCCAAAAAAAACGAGGTAAAGTATGACAGAAAGTCTGCAATGTTGCTGATGATGGTACATGGTTTCACACTTTGGACATATATTAGCTTGCTCAGTGTTGCTTTTACTGATACCTCTTCATTATATTTTTTACGTTGCAAAACATCCCTTGCTGAAAAAGAGCTGCATCTAATTCTTAGTAAATTAGGGGTCCAAGCAAAAAAAATATTTAAGGAACGTACCGTAGATTTTGGAGTTCTGGGTATACCAGACCTCCTTGCCTTTGCGTATGGCTCATCCTCCTCATAATCCTCTTTCCCACCACGCTCTTTATGGACGCGTGGTTTACATGCGGTTTGTGAAGAATCTGGTCTTTTGTGGCGGGGTGCTACGCGGTAATGCCGCCGATACTGGAAGTCTCTGTCATGATGGCTAGTATTTTTTGGACCTCGGGATTCAGAATGAGGCTCAACATCGCTTTTCCACCTTGAAGAAACAAGGCTAAACGGAAATGTCACACAGCCTGCGAGTAGCTTAAGAGGCAACGATGGCCATTCTTTGTGGTCGTTACGCTCCGCTCTTTGCATGATCCGACCCCATGGTACGCACTTTCATAAAAATTACACTTATTTTGTGGATCCAATGATCACTATGAGCACATTCTTTAATTTTTACTTGACAAATTTAAATAAAAATTGGAGATAGTGGATGATTAAATTCACCTCCCGCGGCAGGATTAGAAAAAAAAACAAGGTACAGGAAAAAGCAAAATTAAAGTGCTTCTAAGACTGACCAGTTCTAGGGAGAACAAGAGGAGAGTTTTTCTAGAAAACTAGTCACATGCCACAAAAATTTAAGAAATGACAAGGGTCAGGATAATTTAGTTGTGTTACATCTGGAGGCAAAAATTTGGAAAAGGTTAAGCTGGTACAGTGTATAGCCATGGAAATGAAAAATTGTTATTTCTCCTGGAGCTAACTGGCAACATTCATACACAGTGATTTCAGTGTTGTCAAGAATCTTGCAAAAATGTAAAATTGTTGCGGTTGCCAATAATTAAGCAATTTTCTTCTTTTATCACAAAGTATCAGCTGTTCAAGCTATCCTTGAAGTAATCTGGGATTTCGTTCATTGATTTTTTTCTTTATTTAGTGTTTTTACACATTCAATTTTATCTCAAGATCGTCAAATGAAATTTTCCAAATAAAAAAAATTTGTTAAAAATGATGGTCAACTACTAGACGAGCAAGAATCTGTTGAAATAACTGATGAACATTAGTAACACACCCCCCCCCCTTCCTTAGACTTAGAGAATTTGTTGATTCTTGATTTATCAATCAACACAGTTCAACAAGTTCTTGAGATCTTAAAATCATCAACGATCAGGTACAAATTCAAGCATTCTGAAGTATGTTCCACCTTTAAAATTCCACATAGAATAAAATTCCTGCGACAAAAATTACTGAAAGTAATTCTGAGCCAAGATATTGAACTTTTTTTTTTCGCATTGGTTTTCAGAAAATCAGAAGTGCCCTATCACAAGAAAAACCACCTAGTGAATCTAATTGTGGACTACAAAGGTTTCAGAAGGCATATCATTATGTTTAAATTTGCACCTTGTGTAAAATGGTCCATTAATATGGAAGCTCTCCTACGCCCAATGAGAGGGACTTCTTTAATTCAATTTCATGAATCATGAACAATTTTAATAAAATGTTTTCATTTGTACACAATTTATTGTAAAGTTTAAGCTTTAACCGTAAGAATGTTGTTAAAAATGTATTTGAATGGGTAAAAGAATGCAAATTTCAAATATTTGAGTCTGGCAAAAATGCACTGTCAGACCTGTTTCTTAAATAAAAGCAACAAAAAATAGTCGGATAGAATAAAATCGTTTTATTCAAATACTCATTGTGACTTTCAGTCCATTTGAGATACATAAAGACAATTCAGAATAACCCTAGGCAACACTTATCGTACAATCAATAACAACGACATTTGAAAAATGAAGATCCTTGAACTACAAATAACCAGAGAAAAAGAAACAAAATCTGGGGAAGCATTCATAACAAAAAAAATTCAGTTTCCACAAAAACAAATTACAAAATGTAGACACTAAGCAAGAGCCCTAACTTTGACAAGTCTAACCTTTTCTCGTGTATTGGCAAAACCAAAGTCTAACTAGAATCATACGAAGAAAGCAACAATCTAAAAATTACAGGGATTCGAAAATCATTGAGTGTCTTAATGATTTAAACAGAAGCTGAAGTTGTGAATGTGTCATAAATCACAAAATAAAGCTTGCGGACAGAGATAAAGGATTTTCACAAAGAGAAAAGATCTAACTGATATTTTTTTTTCAGATTTTATGAGAATTTCAAAAGAAAAAAAAATAACTTTCCCGATATTTAATTATGAACAAAAAAGAAAACTTATTATCTTCAGGAAATGAAAATTGAATCAATACCAATGATTTTCTAATTTTCTATTACTCTTCCAAAGAAACCTTTATCTTGAAAAACGGAGTTAATTAGAGCATGAAAACAGAAAAATACTTCAATTTGAATTTGTGCTGTAAAACTGATGTCAAAAATTTAAGTAGATTTGCTAGAAAGAGTGAAGTGTACTCCTGGCTCTTGACTGAAAAAAAATATGCAGAGTGATAGAAAGCACTGATGGTTGAGATGACCCGAATCTCAGACTGCAAAATTGCAATTTCAGAGAGCCCAAGGGCCTTTTCTGTTACTTGTGATTTTGATCACACTACATCTTACCACTGAATGCTGTTGCTTTCTCAAATTGATGTAATTGGTCAATAGACCAGGGTACAAACAGAAGCTGCTACAAGAGTTCTGATCTCGATTTAATTCTTGCCTGATGGGTAGTAAGTGATTAAATGCAGAGTTCAGAGAGAGAAATTTTGGACCCACAAATGATGAGACAACATGAATTGAAAAACAGAAAAAAATTGCCTCCCAGAGGACATGCACCAAAAGACCAGAAAAAAATTGTAACTGTATAGCCTATAATTGTGAACTCCAAGGCATGAAAAATGCATGTTTTTACGATGTTAATATGAGGTTGATCATAGGAAAAGAAAGCGTAAGAAGTGAATGAAGAGAAGAGTGACACATCAGGAGCTTTGGCGTTTTGATCAAGTTGGACAACAGAACCATCCAAGTAGAACCCTGAGAGCTAGCTAGGTGTCAAAGCTTAAGTTTACAGAATTTTTACAATTAGAGACAAAAATTTACAACAATCTTGCAAGGAGGTAAGTCTTACAAAATGATTGATAGCCAGCCAAGCATGAGACACGTTCCGCCCATTGGTGTAATGCGCCACTTTTTCAATGAGTCATCCTCTGCAATTACTTGGTAATAGATGGAGCCACTAAACATTATAATGCCCATGGTGAAGAGTGATCCGGTCTGCCAACAGAAATATAAAAAAAATTAGAGTTTTTCTAACTGCTCTGCATTAGTTGCAATATTTGAGCTCTAAAAGCAAAGTAGTCTTTAGGAAAAATCTATTAACAAGCTCTTAAAAAGACTCTTAAAATGTGCAAGGTAGGAAATTCTTTCCTAATACTTTTTCAAGAAACTTGTGTGAATTCATCAAACACCCCCCCCCCCCCCCTGCAAAAAATGCAGGATTGGAGGTCATGTTAGGAAAAACAGGAGTGATCAATAAAGTTAAATCCCCCTCCTCTAAATTTTTTAAGCTCAATTACAAAAGGAAATATCACCGCAATGAATAAGCTCTTACACTTAAGTTGTGAAACCGTAAGCTTTGATTTCACACAAAAATCTCAGGATTTCCTGGACGAATTTCAGATTTCTAAGAAGAATTCCAGACTTCTCAATCTTTCCATTAGGGATATCAAATCTTAACTTATTCCCCGAAGAGGAGATTTTTCCATCACATAGATATCATTTTCAAAGCTGCCATAAAAATTAGGAAACTTTCCCAATCTGCTTGAAAGAACTTCCGATCTCTACTTTCAAATATGTATCTCTCTTTAAATTTTGGGGACAGAGCTTACAATCTACTTGTATTTTTCAAATTTAAAAATAATTAGGTATTGATTTCACACACATATTTTTTCCTTGTGACCCAATATATGTGCTCTGATATATTAGTCGATTTTCAGCTGACGCACACCTCCAACCTTTATGTGCATTTTATATTAGCAGATATTTAGCCTTTTTACGATATACCCTGACAATGAGGGAGAGATAGGAATGCAAATTCTAGAATCCCAGGTGAGTTAGAAAGAATAATTTATTCTACATCCCTGTGTATTACCTTTGGAGCATCCTTAACCCATTGACTTATGATTTAATTTGATCCTGCCGGGCCAGGAATTACGATTTAATTTGGCGAAAATCAGCAACTTTGAACACTTCAAAATAATCCAGAAATTATTTCTCTAAGGGTGAAAATTGACACAATAAGCATTCATAATACAACGTTTGAGAAACATGGTGAAAACTTTGAACACAATGATTTTTTCATGTGGTTTATAGCTGTCAAAATCGCAAAATCAGCGAAAATCAGAAAATTTTGAGGTTATTTCATGTGCAAACGAACAGTAATGTGAAAATACCGTAACAAAACAAGAAATTACCGTACGCAATAAGACATAGGGTGGCCACATTACTCATATAAACATTCATGAGAACACAATATACCGGAGAATCGCCGAAATAACGCAAACAATCAGTGGACGGCTCTGAGCCGTCATTTCAGAGCTGGCCCAGCGCTGTGATGACGGCTCAATAATTAAATGAAGATGTACAAGATGATCATCTTAACTGAAAATTAAAAAAGGGTGGCTTTGGCCTGGTAGAAAAGAAATTGGACTTACAACTTGAGGGTGTTTTGTGAATGGCGCTGCAAAAAGGGCCAAAGTGTGCAAAAAGTGATATCTGTTTGCTGTGTCAAACATATATTTTTCTTGACCTTTCCCTTCTTTTGGATGGAGAACTGAAAACAAGACACATTGAATAAGATAATTTTTTTCCAGCATTTATCTTTTGAGTAGCTGCCATTTAATTACTATTATGAAAATAATAAAAAATAGTAATTGTACAGAGAACAGTGTTCTGCTTTCTTAAGAGCCTACAAATTGGGCTTCATGTGGCGNCCCGGCTCATCACCACTTGAGGTGATGGATTGACCCGGGTTGCGCCGCCACATTCAGCGTCTAAAAATTAGGGAGGCTGGGCCGTAGTAACGCCTAAAAAAGTTAATGCATCGATTCGTTCATTGATGCATCGTTCGATTTATTCGAACTCGCAAGTACGAAGTAGCAGCAGCAAATCATGCATATGTAAAAAGTTTATTTGGCTCCTAATAAAATGTATATGACTCCATAAAACTATTCACGGGTAGAAAACTCTCAGGAAACGTTTTCACCACCTACAATGTTTGTTAAAGAGGAGAAAACATAAAGATTAGCATACAAAAAAATTTCTAAGATGGTAGTCCTGTCCATTTTGCTAACAAATTGTCAATTTATAGGTACGTGCTCTTATTTATTTATTTAAATTGGTTCCTAGGGCGTATACTTACTATGTGCTCCATAAACCCCAAAAGCAACAGCGCCAAAGCCGAAAACTCCAGCGAGACGGATAAAGTTCCGACTGCATCCTACAAGCCTGTACAGGTCCATCATGACGACTTTTGTCTCCACAATTTCTTTCTTTGGTGGAGCAATGGTGGCTAATTTTTGTCCCTGTAACACAAAAAATTACACTGTGAATTCAATTGCTCAACTGGATGGGCCTTGCGCAGGATTACCAAAGTAAATCCTTAAAATATGATTCTAGATGTGCGATAAAAAACAAACAAACAAACCAGTTGTTGAATTTGAATTATTTTTTTAAGAAAAAGTAATAAGAGAATAAGTGAGAAAAAGGGTTAGATACTACAAGAAAACGCACAAATATGTAAGAAGAGCTTATTCAATTATCAAAGAGGGCAGGAAATCTCTTAGACCCCTCTTCCACCGAAATGAAGAACGTGAGTTATTAAAATGTTAAAGGTTGCTATAAAATTTACTTCATTACAATACTTGCCTTCATTGCCTTCTGTGATTAACTCTCTCAGTCAAATCTTGCCACAGAAGCTCACTTACAGACAAGAGGGTTCCTGTAAACGATATAGGTATTTGATTTTTGCACAATTTTTTCTTTATGATTGCACGATGAGAAAAATTAACGATAAAAAAATACCAATCATTTATAATTCTCGTGTGAATAGGACCTTACCATATTTTGTTTTGTTTTTTAGAAACAGCATTCTACTAGTGTTTGGCGCAATCATACTTAGTGAGAGTTAATGCGGGAGGTCTTATTCTATCAACTATTTCCCCCAACGCCTTAAATTGCAGCTGTTCAAACCATATCCTGATGCCCAAGAGCTGCTAAACAGCAACACTAGGGGTACAGAGTAATATTTAGTCACTGCACTAAACAAAACATAGTGTTACTTGGACTTACTATAAATTTAAAATTGCCTTGGGGGCATAATTCTCTTGAATAGGTAATTCAGAAAAACTATCCTAGGTTACCATCATTATCAGTTTTGTTGACTAGTTTTCCGGAGAAAAATTAAAAAAATGACAGGAAATCTGCGACATCGCAAACGGAAATTCATGGTTTCGGGGTTAGCCATCGGGTTGCCTTTGCAGTACAAAGAGTCTGAACGGAGCATTCCCAAAAGTTCCAATACAGAAGTTAACAAATCTATTGCAATCTATTGGTGCAAGTTCAACAAATTTGCCAAATTTGTCTGCAAATTGGTTGGAGGAGCTGTTGGTCGAAATGTTTGAATCCTTCATTTGGGAACTGCTTGGTGATGAGCAAAGGAATCAAAGTGATCAGACCATTGTAGTTTGATAAAAAATATTATACTATGGTATGACTTAGATTGAGTAACTTACAAGACACTTGATGAATTCAATCGATCCGCTGGACACAGGGTTGGTGAACAAAATCCAGTTGACAGAGTCAGAAACGTTTTGCATAATGAGATTCTCAGTCTCAGACATGCAGGGGCCGTGTTAGGAGCGTGACTCTTTGATGGGGAAGTGATCCTGTGATTTTTTTACGACTTATCACTAAATTTACCTGACTTTGATCACTTATCTGCAAGAGTGGGGAGAAAATTTGTTTACCTCGAAATCTCAACAATGAACTGAGGTTAGTGTAATGTTGCCGGCTGAGACATAAAATTACGAATAATAATGTTATTTATCATCAAAAGAGATGAGACTTTTAAAATTTGCAACCAAAATTAAAATAAAAAAATTTTTGGCGTCTTTGAACCATCTTTTGATTTATCTAATGCCATTCTAAACCATAGAAAATTTAATTCAAAGTTTTAGTCTGACCACGGCAACCATGTGATCACATGTTGTTTATGTTGAGGGATGGTTTTTCGTGTACTATCATTGTTTTTGTCAGAAATTTGTCATTGTCATCATTGTCATTCTCTCTATTGTCATTTTACAGAAAATTTTACTCGTACGCCAAGTCAATTCTACCTCAAATTTTTTGTGATCTGCATAGTATTCGCATATTCTTCTTCTCAAACTACTTGTGCCGACTGTTCTCATCGAATCCTCGTGGAAAGTCCTAATCATTCCTGATCACCGTACTTGTTCCGACTTCCACCATGGTATATTTTCTTCAATAGGTTTTTAGTTTTATGCATGAATCTTCGATCCCACAATTTTCTGGCAAATTCTATAAAGAAAAATTAATGCAATGTTTACTAAGTATAAAAATTTGCCGCTCCTCTCAGACCCTTTTTGGACTGGTGAAGTTCTAGCCTGGTTGAACTTGATCCACCACCATGAACATGAACACCTTCCTGATAAGAGTTTGCCAGCCAGAATTTCATCGCTGCTTTTGCTAATTATTCACTCTCCTTGTACTGTACGGAATATGTACCACAGCTTTATCACTTCACAGATTCATTGTGTTTGATTGGTTGAAAAGTCGGTCATGGCGTGAAGTTCCAGGTCAGAGGAAATTAAGGATTGATTTCACTGTGAAATTTCATCAGAATTTACAGACCCACGGAGAAGTTGTTCCCACTATGCCATTGGAGCTGGTATTTCTCTGTGAAGTGTCTAGGATCCTTCTATTTTGAATAGCTTCAATGTATAAATGACAAACTAACAAGACAAGATGAAATTTTTTCTATAATTGTATCATTGAATTTCTGTCCCAATGCTTTCAACTGTCCTCAATAACCAAATCCTACAGCTTTTAGTAATATGTAAAGGAAATTCAAGGAGACGTGCTTACTAAAGCATTGCTACTTTTCCTTCCCCTCAATTTCTAATCCAGTCAAATTTTTGTTTTCAGTTCAGTTTCAATATGTTTCCTGACATACCACGTGTTTTCAACACGCACTACAAATGCTATTCTGTCTCCATGTTACCGGGTAATGAAAGAGAGGATGTTGAAAAAGGAGGAAAAAGTAAGTAATCGATCGATCGACCTCTTCATTTTATATAGGGGATTAGCAATTCAAAGATTGAAAAGAGTCTCATTTTCCTACAGTTTGATAAGTGATGAGTATATACCTAGGTTCAAAAAGATTTAAAAAGGCTCATATGAAATTAGTGTCAGTCAGGTAACATAAGAAAGAGGTGGCATTTGGACCTCCTAAAAGAAAATGAAAGGCAGTCAAACTTGCTTAAATTCAATAACAATTTTAATTACGGGCAGACAAAACTTGCAAGCAATATTGTGCGTCAATGATGGGCTAGAACGATTGCACACTTTTGACAAGTCTGATGGACATTTGACAGGTCCTGCTGGGGCAGTGGTCTGGTCATGAAAAAGTAAAATGTGAGCAGAAATCTGCAGTGCCGCAAACCAAGGGAAGTGGTTTCACAGTTTTACTATCAATATAAATTCCAAAGACTTACTTATTCTACATTGGTAGAAGATGAAAAATACATGTCCTGACCATCTTTTTTGTCCCTAATTTTCAGTTATCATGCCACCATCAGCACTGGATCATCTAACAAGACTGAATGTATTCTATCCCATGCTGTTCAAACTCACCAACCGGAAAATGAATCGTATAACACACTGTGGAGTCTTAGAATTTGTTGCCGATGAAGGCAAAGTTTACCTCCCATATTGGGTAAGTTATCAATCTCAAGCTTCAGGACTTCCAATGCTTTACTTGCCAAGAACAGAAATTATATTTCTCAAAGTAAAAATTTTAATGAATTGAAGAGGATTGTAAATGTTTTTCCCACCCACAAGGGTAAAGAGAATCCAATGTCAATTTTCATCAGAAAATAATGGTCAACAGTTTTTCCCAATGTCATGTATTATGACCCAGCTTGGTCGTTATTTCTGAGTAATGATTTACAAACAGCTCTAGTTTTCATCCAAGTTTTACCACATACCATCGCATATACAATCTTGAACCTGCTATCTTTTTCTTTCTAAAATATTCAATTTATAGACAGAAAACAGGATAGCCGTTGAATTTTTAACAGATCCATCCAGTGCAAGCACTCAAAGCTGGTCTTGACTAGTGCCCAATAAAATCATTTGCACCATTATTTTATTCCTTCCTTTCAGCAGTCCTAGGCACTGATTTTAATTTTCAGTTTTCTGCTGTATTTGAATTTTGGTCCGTTGAGATCTCAAAAGAAAAACATGATGAGAATTTTGGTTAACACTTAAATTGTACAGGAAGTAAGAGATAAATTTAAATTTATCATTATCGAGGTTTTCAATCCAGATGTTAATTTTTGCAGATGATGCGGAATCTACTCCTGGAAGAAGGTTCAACAGTCCAAATTGAAAGTGTGATACTGCCTGTTGCTACTTTCTCTCGATTCCAGCCACAGTCTACAGACTTTTTGGACATCTCAAATCCAAAAGCTGTGCTTGAGAATTGCCTGCGGAACTTCGCATGCCTCACAACAGGAGATATCATTGGCCTCAATTACAACAACAAAGTCTACGAACTTTGTGTGCTTGAGACCAAGCCAGGAACAGCAGTTACTATCATTGAATGTGATATGAATGTAAGTAGAAACTTTATCACATCAATAATCTGTGGATCAAATCGATGACCAAAGTGCAAAACCACGTATCTCCATCGCGGTGTTTCAAAATCTCCACTCCCATATCATTTCCTTGAAAATAAAAAAGTCAACTTTTTAACTTGAAAACTTAGAATATGCTGGTAACAGGGGAAAAAAATCATGAAACATTTCAAGAAATTACGTTGACTAGTTTTCCGAAGAAAAAATAGAGGATGGCAAGAAGTCTACAATGTTACAAACGGAGATACATGGTTTCGCACTTCAGTCATTCATATTTCAAAAAAGATAATGGGCCCTCTCCATTAAAATTGACACATTTCTTCAGAAGGGCCCAAGAAAATTCTTATTCCTCAGTGCATGGACTAATTTCAAGAGATAATTTTTTGTATGTTGCTTATTGGGACAACTTGGTAGTAAAGAAAAGAATGGGGAAAAAACAATCACACACCACAATAGTCTACACCATGAAAAGTGGTAGCTAAGGGGCAGAGTCTGGTGAGCAGCTCGATTCTTCATTTAAGGGTTGATTGGCTTTGGCTAGCCCGGGTCCTTTAAATGTGCCGAATTACCTGGGTTTCAATAAACAATACCCCAAGCACATCGCTGACTCTGCCCCTCAGCTGACACTCTCTAGTGTATACTATAAATGTCTAAACTTGAGTTGTCAAGCTTGCCTAATGGCATCTAAAAAGAGTGATCTACTGGTCAGCAGCTGTACACTGGGACTTTTCCCAGGACACGCCAACTTAATCTCGTTCTTGCAAGATCCTCTCTCTTAAAAGCTGACAGTAGAGTTTAAGAATTCCAAGCTTCAAAAGTTCAGTTTCCTAACAATAAATTTAGGTTGTTCTGATTGATAATGGTTAAAATTGTTACAGGTTGACTTTGCACCGCCAGTAGGTTATCAAGAACCACAAATGAAGTCGCGGGATGAAGATAAAATGGCAGTAGATCCTCAGGAATTCATACCAGAGCCAACAGGGTTTGTTGCATTTAAGGGTGAAGGAAACAGGTAAGATTTGAGAGAGAAATGGAAAGGACTATGCACAGAATACCGAGAAATTTAACGCCTCGTTAAATTTTAAGATTTTTTTTTTTGTGATGTTCCTTATCATCTCCTAAGTAAGATGAGCCTATAAAATCTAACTTTCTACGTGTCAATCTCGAGGCAATCAGGCCTGAAAAGTGCATGTTTTGGCAATATAGCACAAAGTGTCACAAAAGGAAGTGGTACCGTTGCTGAGCCAAAGATGCTGAGTATTTTTTTTATTTGAGTTGATGCGCCCGCCGGGGTAACATGAGAGAAGAAGAGCTTGCTCCTCAATCATCATTCCACTTGATCATTTTTGTAAAATTACCAAGGAATTCACTTTCCAGACCTGACTTTCTTGAGATTGGCAAATAGAGAGTTCAATTTTGAAAGCTCATCTTGTCCAAGAGATCATTGGAAATGGAGACATGATATCAAAAATTATTCAAATTCAGCCAGCGCCAAATTTTCCAGTGTTCTGGGTGTAGTCTTTTTAAGTTCAGAAATATTTTGTAGCCTCTTTGTTCGCATCTAAAAATTTTCAAATATAGTTCTTTGTATTTTACGTATTCTCAAGATTTGCTCTTTGTTTTCGCTTTTCTTGGTCTCACTTGGCTCAACCATTGTTCTACAATAGAGTGACTCTGTAACTCATGTTACCACTTTGTTCAATTGACTAAGTGCTGGAGCGTCTATTTTACGGCATGGATAGGGATACCCAACCAAAAAAAATTGAACATTTCTCTTATGGTCCTCAAATTGTTGAAACAAGTTTGTTGAATTCAAGATTTAAGTTGATTAATGTCGAATCATTGCAGACTCGATGGAAAGGAAAAGAGGCGAGCGGCATCGGGCTCTGACTCTGGACCAGTCGCCAGGCAGCATTATGAGCGTGGCATCCCAGACTATGATTATCAAATCGGAACTCTACAATTCTTCCGGCATCTCAAACCAGGCAAAGAAGTGAGTCCTTCCTTAAATTATTTTACTTCATCAATATAAATGTTCTCTGAAAGATAAATTAGAGATGAAAACTCATAAGTGATGTTGGTATCACTGCAAATGGGGGTTTAAGGGTCTCTTTGTTTTATTAATTTATTATTTTGTAATTTTATTTTTGTTTCCTGGTCGAGGAGAAGGTTGAGACCACCCCAAAACGTCCCAGGTTTTTATGTCTCTATTTTTTAGCCTTTTTTACCCTTTTTTTGGTGTTTTTTCTAGTTAAATTTGGGCTACTTTTGTGTATTATCTTCATCACTGCATAGAGCAGTGTATTGCAAAATTCCAAATGAAAAAATTCCCAAAAATATTAAGACTAGTGATAGTAGGAGAGCAGGTATGGACTGGATACAAACAGCTCCCCGATTGGATTTTCTGACTCATACATTAAAGGTTTATATAACGAGATCATTGATGTCAGCTCTGTCAGTTGTCGACAGAAAGAAGTCCCAACTTTTATGTTCCAATGAAGGACTTTTTCCCATACGACGCTCTCCCGCAGCTGCTACGTCTCTACCCATCTACCATGATCTTAACTTATCGGAGTCGTAACAGTTTGAAGTTTGCAGTTTAAAGAAGCAGTTTTAGAAGAAGTTATTCATTGGAGCTCAGAATAATGAGATAAATTACAACTTCTTAACCTCTTTTAGCTCAACATGGAATAGGTAATAAGGCTACCCCTGAAGTTCCTAAGCCAAGGCGTTACTTGCCAAATTTCCAGACTTTTCGCATGAATTCCCAGACTTTACCCGAGACCCCGTTTTCCAGACCATCAGAGACCCTGATTTAGTATATTAGTTAGCAACTATCCCTTCCATTTAATTTTTTCTGCCTTCTCTATGTTGGGTGCTTAAATTTTATTGTGATCAACCTTGTGTTTCAGAATAAAGAACCGGAGAATGAATTTAAGGCATTCTCAGGAGAGGGCTCAAGTCTGCGAAAGGCAAAAAACAACTGAGCCATTCCCCGTCTATGAGCTTCGTCACATACCCCAGGAATGTGCCAACTCCAAGAGTGAATTTGACTTGTGATTCCTTGTAAATAATCTTGACTTGCTGCCAAGCAAGTTTCAATTAAGTTTCCAAGGAAACTCGTATCCTAGGGTGTGCTTTATTTTTCCAAAAAAAAGTGATTTCAAGTCAAAAATAGGCTCAATGTGTACGTAACTACTCTACTTGGTCAAAGCTTAGCTGAGCAGCTGCTTAGTGCTACAATTTTTCATTTTTTTTCTCTCTAAGGAAAGTTTCTTTCCTAGCCCAAATGGATCCAAAGACTAACTTGAAAAAATCAATTTGAAAAATTAGGCATACCCTATTGTACTTTTTGTATTGTTTTAAAAGCAAATTTTATTATTTTTTCTTTTATTTTGTAAATTTTATCTAATAAACACTGTTTTCACATTGTACCGATGTGTGGATTCTTTACAAAGTTCGTTAATGGCATCGATTGAGAACAAAGAAAGCCAATACAAACAAGACAAAAAATTCATCGCAGATTAAGGTAGACATTTATATTTCCTTAGACACCTTAAAGACCAAAACCATAATAGTCGTACCGCATCAGACCATTTGAGACACTTCATGATCTGGCTTTCGATATTGAAAAACTTCAATTTTATCATGATTTAGTTATTTTCTCAAAAGTTATCGATTGCAAGACCACGAAACCACTTCTCTCCGTTAAGTGATGTTGCAGACTTTCTGTGAGGTTTTATCTTTTTGAGAGAAGGCCAATCATCATGACTGAATAAAATGTTGGGCCTTTGTTCTTTTTCCTCTCAAAAAATATACAGTAAGATTGTCTAGAATCGTGTCTCAAAATTCTCTCCAAATGATAATGATGAAGCAGAAATTTTGAAACACCTCAAGTGTTTTCCCCACCCACCGCTCACTTGAATTTTTTCTGTGTCCTATGATATCTGATCAAAGAGACTGACAGGTAGTGCAGCAATACCTTGAACATTTTTATACAAATGAAAGGAAATTCAGTAAAAATAATTTGCTGCATTATTGAAAAATATTTTTTGCAATTCATTAATGAATCGCAAAATAATCAATTATTTTGCAAATAATTTTTTAAGGGAAAAAAAGGAGGTGGTGGCAATCTCAGATTTGTTCACTCCATAATGTAGGTGGGTACGATACGGCATCAATATTTTTACAAAAGCCGAAATGAGTCTGAAAATCAAACCGTAAAGTCCACTGTTTTGGTGTAAAGGCAAGGCACAATACAGTTGTAAACACTTTTAGAAGTATGAATTTTCTCTGTAAAACCACCCATTTTTTTTAGAAAATTATTGAAAAGAATGGTCTGTACCAGTCTTAGCCATTGAAAAAATCTGAAATGCGACCACCTCCTCTTTTTTCTCTATGATATTTGTAGTGTGACTAATTATTAAACAGAAGGCGAAGAGGGATTAAAAAACAAAGAGGAATTTTTGATCAACAAAACAAAGAGTGTCACTTTAATCACAGGAAAATAGGATAGCATTATTCTGTCCTGATAATAATACATATTAATGAATAGTGCAAGTGTACAGACAATCAATGTTCAGTAGGGGTCCGCGAAGCTTCGCATTGCTTCGCATTTTGCGAAGCGAAACAATTTGTGTATCTCTTTCATCCCAATTTTTGATGTCTAGCGTGTAGTTCAAATGAAAATATTATGACATTCATCGCACTGACTTGAGATGATTGTCTTAAGGAAATCCTTTTCAGACATTAGTAATGATCAAGAAAAGTTATATGTAAACCAAAATCTCGAACTCGGAAGTGTCGAATGGGACCTGGTTGAGATTGAAATCCTTAAGGAAGATATAGGTAAGAAGTAGTTTTGAAATAATTACTCCTCAAAAGTAGCGCACATAATTATGGGAAGGAAAACAGTGAGCTAATACAAAATGACAAGTTGTTAAATAGTCATCGAAAAAATGGAAAAGTCGGAAAATTTCTCCCGACCGTGAAACGATGGAGAAAAGTCAAATAATTTCACCTTATTAGAATTCTTACCTTGGTCGAGTGTTAGGTAATTAAGTATGTAATTTTCAAATACTTAATGCTATAAAAATCTTGGTATGAAGCATTTTTATGAGACATCTTATTACCTAAAAAGCATTGTAAATTCCGGGTACTTTATGTTCATCCTGATAAGCCATAGCACAGTCAGGATATTTTGCAATCAGGGACTTATGAGGCAGCGGCGTTTGATAAGGTGCGCAAACAAAAAGGAAAGCAACTAGCCGCAGAGAGCGCGGAGGATGTAGCTTAAAATAAAAGGAAGAAAATCAGCAAAATTGAGGTGGCAGCTGCACTAAAAAAAGCCCAGTCAAAACTGAAATTTCCTAAAATTGGTCAGCCGCCTGTGAAGTGCCCAAAGTTACTACCTCCAGTCATTTTGAGCCCTCTATTAGAGTCCCCACCTCCAACTCCAAGCAAGAAACTCTTCAACTTCCAAGTCTGCACTTGAAGGGGATGAAAGTAATGCGTCCGTGTCAAAGAAGTCTGACACCAATCAGCGCAAAGTGCCTCCTCAAACATCGAATAAAGATGAAGGCGAAAAACAAGAGGATACTGGAGATAAGGCAAACTACGATAGAAATCTTGGGTGTGACCTTCCAGCTAACTTTTACCACCCATGCGCCTTTCCCATCGGAGAAGAACTTTCACTTCAATCAGTATCGCGCAGTCTATGTCGTATTTCAAGTAAGTTTCAATTTTCACTGATTCTGGAAAAAGTAGTTGAACTATTTTTGATTTTTACCGACAGAAAAAACAACAATAGATGTTTATCATAATAAAATGAGTGAAAAAGAGAGGTAGATCGCATCTGGAAAAATCTTCCTAATTTTTCACCTTTTGTGAAAATATTTTCTTGTGAAATTATAATATATATAAATATTAATATTTATTATTTTTTAATTATAATTATAAATATTTTTCTATGTGAAATATTTTTCTGGGTTCCTCCTGGGAGAAGACGCAGAGGGCGCCCAATGAAAGGTTGGAGGGACGGGATTGAAGCAGAAATGTTGAGGTGCTCAATCCCCCAAGATTTGTGGTTTGAAAGAGAGCAGTGGAGGTTAGGAGTCGTAGAGCGCGAGGGAGTGCTGTAAAGCGACTTGTATGTATGTATGTATGTATGTGAAAATATTTTCTTGTTTATGAAAGATTCGTCCAGAAGCATCTAAAGTAATTGTTTAAGTTGTCATTTTGTTTGCAAAGGAATGGCTATTTTTAATATTCCTCCTAATTTATTTTGGTTCATAGTATTCACTTGGCGTTCTTTCTATTACTCACAGACTCATTTGAAACAGCCTATGACAACGCCATACGATATACATCAGGGAAAACCTCCAAATCTGCTTCTGAGGAGGAGCCCAAAGGAAGAGGGCTGCGGAAGAAAAGAAAATCCAAGTATATTCAATCATCTTCAGAAAGCTCAAGCGAAGAAGATGTTAGGAAGAAGAAAGGAAAAAAACCCGTCCAACCATCTTCCTCCTGTTCGGAAGAAGATTCTGATACAGTGGTGCAACGATCCGAAAAGTCAGTAGAAGCTGAAAGTCACATTCACATAGAAGAAGAAGAAGAAGAATCCATCCTCAAAAATTACAGTCACCTCTGCCTTTAGGCTTGAGGATTTCGCCCTATCGACTTCTGCAGAACATGTTATAAAGTAGTGTTTCATTCGTATAATTTTCCTATTGCAGGTCCCTTCTCTATAATCATGTCATGAGACTCCTCATCAACTTTAGGTAGAATAAAGTTTCATGAAATTTTTTATTACGTAAACACCAATATTTTGTTTCTTTTGTACATCCCCCCAGTTCTACACTTCAACAATGTTATTCAAAGCCATAACAAATTATCTCATGCTGCCAGGACTATCGTTAGGCAAGTACTTCATGAAGAGCTGCAGAAGGAGTCCTCGTGGATGGGGCAAACTTCAGACAAGGAGGGAGAGTGGAAACTTGCATTTGGAAAATCAGTATTTTGCAATTCAGTGCTAATGAGTAAGTTCGGATTATTATTCAATTCTCTCATAATGCTCCTATGATTTCACTTTCAGAAGGCTTTATCAAATTTAGAAATCAACGCATCTGAAATGTTAATTTTTAGTTACTGAATTTCCAAAGGTGTATCGGTCAAAATGTATAAAATTGCACTCATCGGTCTACAATCGTTGCTACAATCGCTCGCTCCTTGAATCACAAGAAACCCGTTACACTGCGTTCCGTGGGAAATAAAATAGCCCTGAGTCCAAGACAAGCTTTGACTACAGAGATCTATATTTGCAGGTTTAATGTCACTCTTGCAATCATTTTTGAACACGTTCCCTCACTTTTGTTTTTTTTTCTATTTTAAAATTTGTTTTTGTACTTTCAGAAACATTGAAAAGATCGAAAAAGTGGAAGAATGACAATATCGGTACGCTGGTAAAAGACACAATTTCAAACATGCTGACGATGTCTAAATCACTAAAGAAAACGCCAAGTGCCACCAAAGAAGAAGCCAAATAGTGTCATCCCTATCGCTGCTCTGTAATTATTTATAGATAGGTATTTTTAGATGGCCACTTTTCTCTTTATCTACATTTTCCTTCTATTTATTTATATTTTTGCCAACGAACAGCTCTTTCGCTGCTCTGTAATTAATAATGGTTAGGCATTTTTGGCCATTTTTTTCTCTTTATTAAAATTTATCTTCTTTTTATTTGTATTTGTTCAAATTAGCAGACCTATTGCTGCTCTCTAATTCACAGCTCCCTTTCACTATTCTCTAATTAGCAGCCCTATCGCTGCTCTCTACTTAAGCAGCCCTATCGCTGCTCTCTAATTAACAGCCCCATAGCTGCTCTCTAATTAGCAACCATATCGCTGCTCTCTAATTAATAATAGTTAGGTATTTTTGGCCACTCTTCTCTTAATCTACATTTTCCTCCTTTTCAGTTGTATTTTTGCCAAGGAACAGCTCTTTCCCTGCTCTGTAATTAATAATGGTTAGACATTTTTGGCCACTTTTTTCTCTTTATCTGTCTGTGGCGACCCAGCTCACCGAGCTTTCCTGCCACTCTCTCGGCCAATCAGCGCCTCGCACTGCTGCGCTCACCAATATGGCCTCCCATTGGCTGCCGCTCCTAGCGCACGGTGCTATATAGCGGCAGACTTCCGGCACCATGCTTCACCGTATGTCGACACTGTCACGCGGCCACACGTTCCAGCACTGCCTAGCGCTCCCGCTTGTTCTAGCACCGCTCAGACCTGCTCCAGCTCTTCACTCTCTAAAACGGCCTTTCTTAGGGCCACCAAGTTTTGAGCACCCTCAGTGGTGACCTCTGACTCCGAACACGCCTATCCTTCTGAACATTCATTCACGGACATTGTCATCATTTGCAGCATAGCTCACTTTCATCATCATTTCGTTGCCACTGAAAGTTACCGCTTCTTCAACCAACTGGAAACTCCTCAGCATGGCTACAGGAGGAGAGAATTTTGACGATATCGATCCAGCTCTCAAGGCAGCGAACGACAAAAATCTGGCCCTCCTCGACCAGATGAAAATGATGCGAGAGGAAATGAATTTCTACCAAGCCAAGCTCGCTGAAAGGCAACCCGCCATCACTGGTGAGAAGAAGAACATCAAGCTACCTCCTTTTAATCTAGAAAAACCGCAGCTATGGTTTTCACAGGTAGAATCTATCTCTACAGTTTGGAACATTACAAATGAGATGATGCAATATTCTCTGGTATCATCTCAATTGGAAACCCGTGTCGCCAACGAAGTGGAGGACATTCTTGTATCACCTCCCACTGACACGCCATACTCCAAGTTAAAATCCGAGCTGATCCTTCGCCTGTCCAAATCTGAAACGCACCGCGTTCGACAACTGCTCAGCGAAGCAGATCTTGGCGACAGCACACCCTCGCAATTTTTGCGTAGGTTAAATGCGTTGACTGGCACTACGAAAGTAGATGAGCAGCTCATGAAAACTCTCTAGCAGCAACGTTTACCTCGCCAAACGCAAGCTATCTTGCAGACGCACGCTCAAGAAACATCAATCAATGAACTGGCCAAAATCGCAGACCGAATTTTGGAGATTGTCCCGCCTCCATCTGTTTGCGCCGCTACTGCACCACCTGAGACTCAAACATCCAATCTTGAGAAAATGCTCTTAGCTTTAACAGAGCGACTTGACCAACTCGAAGTGACCCAAAAGAAACTGCACCGCAACCTGTCTCGCTCACGGTCACGCTCTCGTTCCCGCTCGGAAAACGACCGTCGTAATGGTGTCTGCTTTTACCGTCACAAGTTTGGCGATGAAGCACGTGCATGCCGTCAACCTTGCAGTTACAAACCTAAGTCCACGCCGACAAACTCCACCGGCAACCAGTAGTGGCGGCCGCTGGTTGCTCCACAGAATCCAACCGCCTCTTTGTCACGGACGCCCGCAGCAAGTTAGGTTGTTACCTTAATTAAGTTCTTTATGTAATATTATAATTCATTGTAATAATATAATATACTGAATTTTTAAAAAAAAAAAAAGTTAAGGTTTTTATTTTACCTACTACGACCATATCATTTTCATGAAATTATTCTTAAATTGATTACATGGTAAAATTTTTCCTCCAAAATGTAAATTTAATGGGAAAATTTTGAAATTCATTACATGTGACACAATATCTCTTCCGAAATACATGTCTATTATCTTCAAGAGCATTTAATGACTTTCTTAGTAAGTAAGCAATGATGTAACTCGCCCAGAAGATATTCGCAGTTCCACAACAGTATATTTAAAAGAATCGTTTTCCCCGGCGTCTTTGACTTTATTAATCCTCAATTCTCAGTATTTTTTGCAAGTTTTCCAGGGAGAAACTATTTTCAACCTGATACTGGGGACAAAAAAAATTTGAGATATTGATGATTTATTGCTGTTTTATCACCAACATATTCCAATTTCATTGCAATTCGATTGGCAATAAAATGGCCAAATAATTGGTTGACTTTTGATTCCCGGATTGATCGATTATTGGCAATAAATTACCAATAAATTACCAATAAATGACCAATCGATGGAAATCAAATTGGAATAAAATCGTAAATAAATGATCAATATATTGGCAATCATCTTTTAAATTTTGCTACATGGGTGGCAGTGCAATGTCCAATGATGAAAACTTGCAACCCATCAATACGAGCCAGTTGATTTCGAAACACAAATCATTGAGACTTGTGTCACAATGCGCAAGCGCAACACTAACATACGCCATATTAGAGACAAAATTTTTGGCAGGATTGGCAGTTGGTGTGCTTTGAGTACATTCAAGATAAAGAAACACAAATAAGAATCTTTTGTCGGACAAATTTTCCGTCAGTCATTCTTATTACCTAAAAAATGCTTCAAAAGGCACGTTTTCAGTTATGGACCGCTTCAGAACTGGGATGATCATTGTCTGCAAAATTCTCACATTTTCCAACCATCTGTTCACTCTCCGATTGGTGAAGTGATACATTTTTTGCACTGCCGAAAGTACATCTTTTATATCCCTGGAAAAAAGAGAGAAAAAGAAGAAAACTATTAACATCTGACAATGAGATACAAACATCCAAACTTCATGACCTCTAAGCAGTCTGACTTCAAGAAAATTGAGCCATGTTCTTTTTTTTTATAGGGTAAAAAGAAAATACATACACTTCCCACAATTAAGTTTTTTATTTTATGTTCTTTAAAAAATATATTGTAAAAGTAGGTATCGGCGGTGAGACTCCCAAACCATGTATTTCAGTTTGCGACATTGTAGACTTCCTGTTATACTTCATTATTGAAATGGAGAGCTACTCAGCGTCAATATTAATAAGATTTTTATTCTCTGAGGGAAACAAATTCTGGAGAAACTTCAACGAGTGATGCTGATTTCTTCTCTTTTAAAATAATAAAATACTGATTTATGAGATTTATAAATACTGCAAATGTGATACAAGGTTTGAGAGTTTATCTGACATTATGAGGAGTGCTACAATAGATACTGGCTCAATTTGCTGACAAAAAAATAGACTGAAAAACCAAGCAGTCTATCCAAATAAGCCAAATTATTTGTAAGGAAGTCTTCTTCTTTCTGACAAACATGAAATTTTAAAATCTGAATACTCAAAACAATATAACAAAGCTCAAATGGTATTCACCTGAGAGGATTCAAGGTGTCCTGACCAAGAACTGCAGCGATAAAGTTGCAAATGATCAAATATAAAATTGCGAAAAGACACTGCCGCAAAACAGGTAAAATTTGGAGAATCTTTTCAAATGTTTTGCGTCCTCTTTCACGCAACTCAAATTCCCTGAGGGAAGCATGCTTCTCTTCCAAACTTTCTTGCACATTCAGTTGTATTCCCAACAAATTATCTGCAATCTGCATCAGGTACTTTAACGACTCGAATTTCTTCAAAATACTGCAACAGAGGAATGAAAAAAAACCAAAAATTACGCAAACAGTGTCTTTGCAAATAGAATTTCTTATATCACCATGAAAATTGAAAATTGTGTTCCCTTTTTTTCATCTTGTGATCTTAAACCTAGAACCGAAGTCTTTCAAGGAATATTCTGGGAGTTAAAATTGGACTACATTTTGCAATAATACGGAGAAAAAAAGTTGCTGACGTAACATCCTGGGTAGGTATTAAAAATCTGCAAGTGTTGATGTATAGACACTCTGGCTGTGTAAGTAACATCCTAGTTACTTTGAATTAACAACCGTGGCGTTCATATCAACATTCAAGAATCGTCAGATTTTAAACATTCGGGATGTTACTTCAGCAACTTTTTTCCGTGAAGGAATTACACCACCTCCGACTCACCCATAAAAGCACCCATCTGCATGGGGAAATTAATGGCAGATACGTTACTTCTGAAATGAGCCAGAAACAGTAGTTCTCTATGGTAAAATGTATTCCGGTTAGTGACATCAATGACTTTCAATGTTCTTCAGGGGACTTCATATAATTTTTTTAGTATTTTTGAGAACAACAAAAAAATTTAAAGGCTTTAAAAAACTATCATAAAAGTGGAAGATTCTATTTCTCTATTTGGAATATCTATGACCAGTAAATGAAGGAGATAATGTATGAGGTATGCACATTTGACATTCTACATGTTGTTATTTGTTATTTTGAAAAACTTCAAATTAAAAAGAGATTAGACCGCTAACTTCTTAATGGTCATTAACGAAAAAATCAAATGATGTAAAATTCAAGAGCTTTAATGTATATTTATGCGATTTTCAAAAATTCCATTATTTTTCAGAAATTCCCTGCGCTACAAATCTTGAACAATCAAGAAACCTTGTGTTAGGCAAGTTTTACCTGCAATGGTGCGACAATACTCTTGATTTCAGAAAGTCATCAAGCAGTTGAAAAGATGGCTGTATAGTTTCTTCAGAGTATCTACTCCTTTCCACAGCTAGCAAATAGGAGTTTAAATTTTGTTCCACTCCAAAAGAAAGACACTCAACATTCAGTTTTTCTGGCAAAAGAGAGGACTCCCAGCTCTTGATCGTTGAAACGGATTTATCTATTGATCGCTTAACAACTGATATTAGGTGAAATTTTGGATAATATAATCCTTGGTCGACAGAATTGGAGTGTTGTACAGAGCAGATCTGCAGGATGTCTTGAGATGAGAAGTCTTGAAGTTTCATAAAGACATGCACTAAAACGTTGATGAAATGATGACATAAGTGGTTGGATATGTCCTCAACTCTAACTTCACCATGACTCAGTTTGTCCCTTAATCGAGGTCCGTTAGGAAAGGTGAGGAGATCGTTCAGCATTGTTATCACATCTGCTGATAAAACTGAATAGAGTTTGTTTTCTTCATTATCTGAGAAGGAAACAAATTTGACAAATTTAGAAAGATGTTGGAGAAATTTGATGCCACCTGGCTTTCAACAATCGAATACATTGATTGAACTCTCGTTAACATTCTTAACACTTAGGTAGAACCTTGAACCTCAATATATTCTGGAAACTAGATCTTTAAAAGCAGAAACTCAATTCTCTGAGGAGATTGATGTATCAGGCTATCTATTTCGTGTTCGAGGAGACTGATTCATCAGGCTATCTCTTTCTTTTTCTCTAAAATTTTAAATAATTTAGCCAATTCAAGAGCCAAAATTTGAGAGGTGCTTTCACAGAAAGTTTTTAATGTAAGATTGTTTCTTTTTTAATGAGAGTAAAAAAATTATTTGTAGTCTTAACTTTCACATTTGTTTGGGAGACTTATTCTGTAGGATTTTTCTCATGTACAACATCGCGATTAGGAAGTAGTTTACAAGTTTAGCAATCTACCAAGAAGAGTCAATTTCAATCCCAATAAAATAAGAGCTTACGTAAGTACTTGACAATTCTTACCAGTCAATTTTGGAACCAAAATTTGATCAAGGGTTGTGTACAAGGTCTCTGCTTCAGCAGTGAGTAACCGGGACGGAAGATTGTTTACAGTACAAAAAGCACACCTCAGAAGAAGTTCAATTTGTGGTAAAAGCACAAGGCAACACTCTCCATACCTGTAAAACAAAAGAGAGGATTAAAGAAATAAGAAGATAACCTTTTCTGTACTTTGATCAAAACAATATCTTTGTTCGTTCTTTGACATCTTCAACCCTGAAACTTAAAATAAATTTTTGGTTTTTTGGCAGTTATCTTCAAATAGGAAATTTAAGACCGCAAATATTTTGGTACGCTCAAATAAATTGTGAGCTGCAAAATGCAGTATGTATGCTGTTTTGTATCAGTCCAAAACTAAATTTAAAAAATCAAAACAGACAAAATAGTATCTTCTAAAACCTCGGCTATACTTTAAAAAAGAAAAAGTTTCTGATTCCAATGACATCAAGATGAGCACTGTATTTGCTGCACTCCAAATGATATTTCTTGGACATCAAAGATTTTGCAATGCTTTCGACAACATAGACTTGTTCCTGTAACAACATCCAGAAATTTGCAACCCTAAGCTGGCCTTACTGTAACTACTTCACTATTTGAGAAAGGCCTTTTATTGTGATGAACTACAAATAATTGAGTTGAAAGGTTCTCCACCAACCTGAGGTCATCGCACAAACGCAAGGCATCTATCCATGATAACTTAAATTTTGGAGGTATTATGTTGGTAGTGTCCACAAGATTTTGGAGAACAGAGGTTTGGAATAAACGATCAGAGTCTTCTTCGAGCACACCATCAAACTTGGATAAGTCGAAGCATTTTCTGTGATTAACAGTAAATCTTTTGCTGTTTAGTAAGGCTTCTATTGATGCAAGTACTACAATAAGTACCGTAACTAATGAGTCACTAATTTCCGTTGGGTGGATAAAGCCATGCCATAATACATTCCGCAAGTTCAAACTGCGTGGTGTTCCAACCAATAATTGAATAAAAGTTGATGGGACAGCACCTACAAAAAACCACAATCATTTTGAGCTGAAGTTATTTGAATCGAGTGAAGTTTATTTTTAAATCATTTTCTTTCAAGTGCATTGAGTAAAATCTGAAGAATGAGGTTTTTACTATCATGTCTGAAAAAGGTTTTTGGTCTCAGTATCTTAGAGGAAACTGTAACTCAACTCATTAGGTGACTCGTCACTGGAAGTTTAGAGGCCACATAAAACTAAGCGCAAAATATCAATGAAAAATTTGAAAACCTATGTGTGCTCAAGTTCGAAGTTGTATAGACGATTCCCTTTTCGCCTCAAATTTTTTTGGGAGGCATGTGAGTACATTTTAAGAATGACTCCTCACACTAATAGATTAAAGTTCACTGAGAGTATTCTTGAGGGAGTCAAGGCCATGTGTTTTGCACAAACCTGAAACGAATGTAACGGAACAGAATTTATAATTACCCAAGAAACTTTTTAAGTACTCTGTTTGTAAAAGATCTCGCAATAAGAATGGAACTTGGAAATCTGATGCTGCTAACACATTCCCAAGGCTTCGTTCCAGGACAGAGGTTAGAAGCAACAGTAAAGTCATCTTGGTTGTATTGCTCTTAGAAGTAGAATATTGCTCATGAAGTCGGATGATGTTATCTGACTGTTCTGTCCAATGAAGCCGAGAAAGCAATGCTCCTTGGCGACTACAGTCAGCTTCTTGGAATTCGGAATGAATTTGGTGGTAGACAGGCCAAACCAATGTTAAAGCCCTTTCGAAGTAAGATGTTGGCTGCTGTAAGATGTTTATGTCTGAAAAATAATGAGGAAATGAGAAAAAGGATCGAGAACTTAAGATTCTTCTTAAAAAGTTCATTTGGAGGAAAACTCAAAATAAAAATTGGGAGAGGTTTTAACTTTAGTGGTGAGATCACTTAAAAAGCAGAAAGCTGTGAATATTATGCTAGGTATGGTTAATGTTTTCATTTTCATCTAAATTTCAAATGCAAAAGAGTGACATGACTGGATAATGTAGCTGTTCACCATCAATCATAAAACTAGAGTATGCTGCACTGCGTAGTTTTAAATTTGTTCCACTATTCAATGGCTGAGGTGAAAAACCACGTATATCCAATGCAGTGTTTCAAAATTTCTGCTCCTATAGTATATTTTTGGAAGAGGAGCGAGCCAGCTTCATGGCTTGAAATTTATACAGAATGTTCTGCTGAAAAAGAAAGAAAAAGTCAGTTTTTAAGAAATTACGGCAACTAGTTTCCCAAAGAAAAAATAAAGTATGACAGGAAGTATGAACAGGACGTCGCAAAGAGAGATACATTGTTTCGCACTTTGGCTATTAATATTCAGCCATTCCTGTCTTTTTGTTCATCAGTGACTGGATCTGTGGAAGAGAACCTCATCTACCGAGAGAAAATTTTCGTCTTAAGACTTGAGGATTGACATCTTCTTCAATTTAGAGATTTTAAGGTCTAACTTACACCCAAAGTTCTAGATTTTCATCCTTCATTCATTTGCGAAAAGTTAAGGAAAATTTTCTCCTGGAAGAGGTCCCTTTTTACAAAGCAATTTAAAGCCGTGCTAGTTTGAAGTTCGATAATACACGGCAGATTGAAATTTTAAATAGTTTTTTCTAGAAATTACATCTCTTCAACTGCGAACTTCAAACAGGCATGAGCTCAGTTAGACATTATTTCATGTTTTCATACCGAAATATTTGTATACCACCTCTCTGTGCCCTGCAATAAATATCTCAATTTTGAATTTTTTGTGAGCTGAAGTCCCTTTTCCGATGATCGGTCACTAATAATTTAAATGGTACTCTGGATATATAAATAATGAAAATAGGTAATTAAATAGTAATTAAATAATTAAAATGGTACTCAAATGAGTACTCCGTATCAAGAGGTATCAAGGTACCCTCAGATGTCTCAAGATTTCTTGAAAATTAGGTTGCTTTTTACTCTGCATATCCATCAAATTTTTCTGAGGTGATCTAAGTTTTTAAAGAATTAAGTACGACATATCGTCACCTTCCAGGCAAAGTATCACAAGCGCCATGCGACGTTTAAAAATTTCCGCCGCCATTTTTTTTTTTTACTGAGAAATTGCTGGTTGAATCTTTTCGAAAATTTCACTAAATTTTATCGGCAGCACAAAGAAAATTCAGTGTAATTTTCGGACAGCTTCGTTGAACAATTTCTCTGTAAAAAAATATAATGGCGGCGGAAATTTTTAAACGTCGCATGGCGCTTGTGATACTTTGCCTGGAAGGTGACGATATGTCAATGGACAGCAAATATGAATTGATGAAACTTACCTAGTAAAACATCTCCAGTCACTTCTGCAATCGCTGTCCAATCAAGGGTCAGATCATTCAGTAAAATCAGCTTCCTCTTTTCATTTTTCTCTGCACTCTGAGACAAATTCACGAGAAGATTCTGCATGTACGATGAAAGGTAGGTACCTATGTGAGTGGCCAACATTTCTTCTTATCTAAAAATTAGAAAGCATTCAAAAGAATCTTTTGAAAAAATTGTTAAAGCATCAAAGAAAACAGCACTTGATGAGTTCCTATTGCACAGGAAGTTAAAAGTGCAAGAATGCATTGGCTTTTCGTTTTAATGAATTGACTGAGAGGAAATTTCAATGTCACAAATGCTAATCCAAATGTATATCCTTGGACTTCAACTATCATTAATATACCTAAAAGTGTTCAAGAATTCTGGAGTCCTCCCCAAATAAGTTTACACACTTCTAGACTGCGACAGTAGATTTTCTGATGTCACTTTCACATGTACAGTGAATGCAAGAAGCAAGGCGACAGATCTTCTGTCGCAGTCTAAAAGTGCGTAAACTTATTTGGCGTGGACTCAGTTAGTTTCCTAGACAACAATCTTTTTTTTCCAAATCCCTAATTGATAGTTCCAGGGCCACATTTTTGAAAAGGACCATCTGCTGCGGCATATTTTCAAACAGTACATAGAGTCGTAATGTAAATGGGAGAGCTGGCACCATGTTCTGCTCAACGAGTTCCAAGCCCGGTGCGCAGATCACTTTTTCGATGCATATTCGATCCAAAATGGCAGTGTGGAATACGTAGTAATTCCATGGCTGAGTCCCCGTGTATCCTAAACAATCGATTATGTATCCATAAAGTGACCCGACGCAGCACAGGAGTCTCTGAATTTGGGACCTGGGATTTGCTTCAATGTGGCGCCAGCTCTCCCACTTACATTACGACTCTATGTATATTTTAAATGGAAAATAAACAAATAATTGAACTCACCCTTAGATTGTATTTGTTTGCCTCTCTTCGAAATTTAACGATTGGGGTAATCTGCCTTGTACTTGCATTTAATCCAATTTGCCACAACTGAATCCTTGGTTTCATAGTTTAGTTGACTGTGCAAAAAAAAAGTCTGGTGAGATTTGTACAGCTTGAATATTATAGAGAAATCTGGCTTGCATAGAGCCTGAGTCCTGCTCGTTTTTTTCATTTACCTAATCACCCTATCGCAATGACACCTCATGTATGTATTAGTGCTCTCCTCAATTTAACCTACTGGGCGTTCTGATACGTCAGCTTCATTTCAGTTTTGCATGCTTTGTACACTATGATTCTTCCTCTCCTTAATTCATATTCATTTCTAAGTATGTTATCTACAATAAGTACAGGGAGCAAATTTTTCTTGGAATACTAATCTCTTTGAAATCAGTGGACACATAATTTTCCAATTAATTTATGAAATTAAAATCAGCGTAACTCACCTAAGATTTCGTTGGATAGTTACTCTTGAAATTTTTACGGGATATAGCGTAAATAATTGAACTTTTCACGAAGGAAGAACGTTTTATTCTTGATTTTCCGCACTTCCTCTCACCGTTTCGCGTATCGCACATGTCGAGCACGGACAGTCGCGTGCTTTGCGATATATCGATTGATTTGCTATTTGAATCTGAAGAAAAAGATCGATAGATAAAGTGTTCGCAACGAACGACTCGTAACTATCGATTCTTTACCATAGCTCCTAACGGGGAAATATCGATATTAGATCACTCACGGACTCACGCAATCACGCCTCGGCACTGATACGGGATTCGCTATGGATATGCATCGGGGCCAGAGTTAAGAAATTTCGTGAAAGATTATAAAAAGAAATTTCATGAGAAAATTTTAAGAAATTTCATGGGGAAAATAGAAATTTCATTCGATGAAATTTTTTTTAGCAACTCTGATCGGGGCTCCACTTGGTGCTGGACAAGCCTTATCTGAACGTGTCCTAGTCAAGTTTTAGCGAGAATATTTAAAGATTTTTTAGAATCGTTTTGCAATAAGCTGATAGTAAATTTTACACCCTTTTAAAAAGGTTCCTAGACATTTTCTTCGAACGGTTTAAAAGAAAAATGAGAAAGAAGGTCACTGATAGTGAGAATTTTTGCCTCGGCCGTTTAAAGAACCCTTATTTTCGGCCTCAGAAATTATTTTTTCGAAAATTTTGTGTCGTAAATTGATAGTAAATTGTATATGGCCTTTCAAAAAAGTTATTTGACATTTTCTTCGAAAGTCGACGATTTAAAAGAAAAATGAGAAAATAGCAGGTCTCTCATCGCATAAGAATTTTTGCCGTAGCTTCTTTAAAGCCCACATTTTTGGTCACAAGGAATTTTGGTTTTGTAATTTTTTTGTAATGAACTGATAGTAAGTTTTACCTTCTCTTTACAGGTCCTTTGACATTTTCCTCAAAAGTCGATGGTTTAGAAGAAAAATGAGAAAAAAGTTCACTGATCATAAGAAGTTTAAGCTGTGAGAGCTGGAGGCTTTTTCATTGCAACCAGGGCCGGATTTTCCTTCTTGCCGGCCACCGGGCCGCCTGTATTTTGCCGCCCCTTCTTATTCGTTTTGAAACATCAATAAAAACCATCAAGTGAACGTGTCAGCGGGGGAGGGGTGCATAAGACGCGTTTACTCGTGTTGAACACATTTTTTGGGAAAGCTCTGTCAACACTACAGCAAAAGGTCACGGAACTTTGCGCGAAAGTCAAGTTTCGTAAACCTATCTCTAATGGACAAGGCCTTTCATTCATAAGAAATGAACGAAAAAAGTATGAAAGAACAAACACAAAATTTGGTTTAGGTAATGATTTTAACTTCCGCCGCGCCGACCGCATCGTGTTTGGCGCAATGCGTGAAGTATTCACGCAGTCTTGTAGGCGCTATGCGTTTCACGCTGATCGCACTGTGTTTGGCGCAATGTATGAAGTATTCGTGCAGTCTTGTAGGCGCTATCCGTTTCACGCTGACCACAATAACCGCACTGTGTTTGATTCAATGCGTGAGGTATTCGTGTAGTCTTGTAGGCGCTAATATGTGTTACATGCCGACTGCCTAAAATTGCAAAATTTGCCGCCCCCTAGATTTGCCGCCATGGGCCGCGGCCCATGTGGCCACCTCCTTAATCCGGCCCTGAATGTAACGCTGCACAATTTCAGAGTTGAAAATTTATGCATTCGCTAAAAAACGGTCGCACGTTTTCAAATTGTTTTGTGAATTTCCAGTATAGCATGACAATTTTTTTTTCGAAAACTTAAGTGTGAAATATACTTAGGTATTCATTGGCTCGAAACCTCAGGTATGCATGGGCTGCACTAATAAAGAAGTTGTCTCCCAAAACTTACAAAAGTCGCGATACAGTTAAGACCCTCTAGCTCTCGCCCCTTCATGTATTGTGAACATTAAAAATGTACTTCAGTATCAGTTCTCTATAAAAGTATTCAATAATGTAGGCGGACAAGAATGAGACTGAATATAGCTGGCAACAGTGGATCGAAATCAAATAATGTGAGATGAGACGGTGGTAGCGGAGACAAGGGGCGACAATGTGGACACAAATTTGCAGGGTTGCCTTTTATAGCTATAAATTCTGTCATTTGTGTAAATAAACGGGTCGTTTTACAGGGAGCTATGGTCGGTATTATCTGACAAGGAAGCGAAGGTAACTCACCTTTGGATTTGTCTAGGTGGCGCCAGGTCTTCCAGACGGCCGTCCCGCACCCCTCCACCGCACCGTGGGTGACACTTCTAATGAGGGTTTTTAATGAAAAAACTGTGCTTTTTTGTGATTCCTTCGAAACAATCTTCGACTTCGATACTGATGTTTCTCCCTTGAGTTCGTGAACATGGGAATCTTAGTACCTATCAGAGAAAAAGAGTAAAAAGAAAGCAGAGAAAGAGAAAAAAGTAGGCGCTGATATAGTTTTGCGGAAAATATAATTACCTAGGTACTTTATTGTGTTTAGTTAGAAGATTACATTTAGAATAAAAAACATGTAGTAAAATAAAAAATTTACATTCTGAAATTTCATGGTACCGCGTCAAATTTTTTGTCGTCATCGTAGGCTTCTGCATTGGCAAAGGCATCTACTTAATTAAAATCGGAGTACAATTTTGATCAAAACTACAAAAAAATTAGGAATATTAGAATAATGTCGATTGCCTTATTGAAATTTTACCTCCGAGTCTATCGTCCTGAGAGAGCGCGGTTGTCAGCCCGAGGGGTCAATTTTTTCCGAGCGTAAAACAATTTAGACACCCCTCCCCCCCTCCCTTTGCCTTAGCTCATCTGTGGACAGTGTCGTTTAAGAATTTTTGCTCTTTATTTTTAAAAAAAAAATATAATAAAAATGAAAAAATAAAAAAGTTAGTAAATCAAAAATTGCCGAATAGTCAATCAAGTGGAACCCCGATCGAACAAGAGGAGAAAATGAAAAGCATGACAACAGTCTTGGCAACAGCGCTTGGTGCAGCTAAATGATAGGGAAAGTAGGGGGATGGGTGCGGAGGGAAGTGGGGGGCTCATAGTGCTGCAACAGCCAATTGCAGCCAAATGAGGGGAACAATGCGCTCAGACGTAAACATCGGAACAGCTGTTCGTCGCACGCCTTCCTCGCTCCCCGATTCGTTCCGTAAGTTTGTTTACGTTCGCCGGTCGATCAACCAGTGTCGGTGAATCAACGGACGCGTCTGGAGAACTGTGATAACCGGTAGTTATTCCACCACGTGGTCGCGCTCAATTCAATTTTAATAGCTCCCTCGTTTTCCAAAGTTTCCAATGGCCAATATTAATTACGCTCGGCACTCCAGCTGCTTTTTGAAGTTGACAATTTCCACGACGAACCCCCTGTCGTTCGCCAACAAGACCGTCGCGAGGAAATTTTCCGGCTTCAACTCGGGATCCCTGTCCGCGGCGAGTCGGTTGCTCAGAACGGAATGCTCGCTGACTTCCTCCAAAAAATTCAACTCCTCCTACAAAGTGCTCTCCTCGCATTACGGTGATGTGGAAGTTCCCAACGTGTCCCTGCCCCAGCAAGTTTTCGCTGATGTTGGGCAATGGAAAGAAAAGCCTATGATCGTAAGTATATATTCGTCTATCAACCTCATTACAGGCCTATCATAAAAGTGAATCAAAGATTCAAGGGATAATTCGGGTAGATATTGCTGACGCATGGTAGCTACTGCAATTTTTAGGGGCCGCCTGTCCTATCCCAGACTTTTCTAGGAGGGCCTCAGGCCCTTCCATCGTGAAGGAAGGTTTTGGGCCTCTCCCAGAAAATGTTGGAAAGTTAAAAGCTCCTAGATGCCCTTTATGTAGTTATCCTTATGTAAAATTTGGTTGCATGCAAACTCGAGGTTAAACCTTGGGTACAACCAAATTAAAATATATCGCAGACTTATTCCCTCCTCTTAGCGTATTAAGTATACACTAAAACGAGGAAACAAATTTGTTCTAAGGTTATTTTCTAGAGTAGGGGCATCTACAAAATATTATTCTAATCCTGTCGGGAGCCAAGACCAAGCGGGCCGGGTCCGCCCTCTCTGGCCCCCTTGAAGCTGTGTCTACGTTTTCTTGTATCAACTGCGGATTGATTTTGAGATTATGAGTTCCCCTTGGGTCCTACTTGATGCACTAATGTCTAATGTCTACCTCAAATCGATTTCCATTTTCCTCACAATGATTCTTGAGCTCATTTTGAAAGCGCAGTTTATTAATTTTGAGTAGCTTCATTAAATTTTCCATTCATTACTTTTAAGTAATTTGACTCAAAAAGTTTGACAGAAATTCAGATGCAATTCCATTCTCAAGTTTCTCTTTGACTCTGACACAAATTTTTATTTTCTAAGTGTATAAGTATCATGTCATTAGTAGAAATTGAATAGATTTAAGTAAGTATAATTCAAAAAGTTGAATGAAAAGTTTGATCGAAAATTTTAATCACTGTGCCAAGGTAATAATATTCTGCAGAGCAGAAGAGTGCACCATTCAAGTTTATTTGATTTATGTCTCAATGGAAGTCTTACACTGATGTCAAACTTACCACAATTTCCAAGGAGCCTGACATCATACCCTTCCCCTCCCCCTGTCATTTATAATCTTTAAAAGAAAAAAAAAAAAAAAAACTGAAAACCTGCTTCTAGTAAGTTGCTAAAAAATTTCAGAAGAAAATAGGAATTAGAAAAAGTGCTAGTGAAATGCATGTATAACTTTTATGCTTCATAACCCTCAGAATCATGGCTAAGAGGGCTTAGGGGTTCAAATCCCATTAGCTCAAGAATTGTCTCTTGTAAAGACTATTCTTTTCCATCTTCAAGACTTTTTAGCCTTTACGGCTCTATCAGCACCTCTATGCAAATTTATTATTTAGTCTCTAATACCTTTCTCCAAACTATTCGAAATTGGCTACGAAATTTTTTTAGCAGGTTCAAAAAAAAAAAAAAAAAAAATTCGTCCCGGTACTCAAAGGGTCTAAGCAGTATCTATCCAATTTTGATTTTTCTTTTAGGAACTTAAAATAATGATCCAGGCGGTGCTTGATGCCAACTTTCCAAGAATTAATGACATTTTTTCAAAATCTGAAGTCCTTCAAAGTCAGCCCCCTGTGTGAATTTGATAAGAATCATGTTTGGCCCCTAGCCAATCCCCATCCCCATTTAATCCGCGGACCGACAGTTTCGTTCCCTCCTAATAGCGTGCTTAAATGTTTTAGTCCACCCGAAACAGCGTGCATGAATGATTTGCTCCCCAAAAACAGCATTTTTTACCGTGGGGGAAAAAACCTCCCATGACTTCCAAATTTTTCTCGTCCTCACATATGGGCTGAGCTCCCCCATTTCACGCGGCCATGCCGGTCGCGTAGTCGAGAAGTCCCGGTCTGTTGTCATGTTTGGACGACCCCATACTTAGTTTCATTCAATCTCGTATTCTTTTTTTTTTTATAGAGGAAACTCAAAAAGGGTTGGGCACCGACGCTACCAGAGCCCCTAGCCCATTTGTTACATAATTTCTAGGGCCCTTATCGCCTAAATTCTCTGATAACGTAGCTCAATGGGTCGGATTCCTTTTATTTTCTTTTTTCTCTCTCTCTTTCGCGGAAGCGCAGCAGATCAAAAGCCTATAGGCTATTCCGGACTTATCCAATCGCTGATGTTATTCCTATTTTCTCATGAACTCAGCGATGATGCTATGTCACAACTTCATGCCGAGACCTTTTCTAAAGCCGAAAGTCTCGTCGGGCATGTTTTCGTCGGAAAAATGCCGTGTTGCAACTGGAAGTTGAGCAACTATCCCCATATTGCAACTCTCTCACTTCGCAACTCGTGGACGGGTGAAGGATGATTTTGAACTGTTGTGTGGCAACGGTTGCACATTAATGCCTCGATCAGCATTGCAAAACAACGGCTCCAAGCCCGTGCCCCCGGGCAGTTGCAATGCCAGCTTTAAAGTCTCTGTAGAATGGGTTCGTGATTTTCAGCAGCTCGAGAGAGAAGGTAGTACTGGCTGTTAGCCACCTACATAGTTAGTATCACAAGGGAGCAAAGTCCCATGGTCTTTGCACTGCTTTCTCAACCGACTCGGCCAGTCAAAGTTCTCTCGCGTATTTTAGATTTTACGTCTCCGTAGCTTGGCACGACGTCGTTTTAAATCTCCACCGTGCAAAGTATGCTCGGAGGTGCGAAAAGTTCCGAAACACCGACATTTCCCGAGGTCCGGCGTTTTTATGTCATGGTCAATTTTCCGATTTCCCTCGCGGAAAATAGCCTCTTTTTTAGGAGGATGCCCAATTTTACGGGAAAATGTGCGATTTGCTTTTGTTTTTTGAAGTTGTAGAGCATCTCAATCGAGACGTATCAACATCTTCCCTGTCGATTTCTTGTTTGGTCCATTTTACAAAAAATGAGAGCAGGATTAACATTTTTTGTTTAAATTCTGCAGAATATATTGTGTGTAGGATGAATGAAAATTGGTAAAAATTCCAAGCAAATAATGTTCACCACCGACTTAATTTTCCAGCGAAAACACAACATAACAGAAATCTGGAATACGTAGCTTTCGTAGAATAAGGAGGTAGACAACCCTCTAATCACTCATGGAATCTTGCCCAATCCTGCTAAGCTAAGTCCGGAAAGAGAGAATTTTGCTGCAGAAATTTTTCACCCCCAGACAAAATATATACTGCATATTTCACTTTCAAGATACTTCGCGCTCCAAAGGGGTTTTTGTGATTATGATTTTTATCCCAGAACATGCCAGAAAAGACACTGGAAAGCCAGGGAAAAGCCGAAAATCTTTTGTTCAAAAATATCTGCAAGGTCAAGAAATATTTAAATGAGAGAAAACTTGTTACTCTGCAAACGGCTATGACCACGATAGGTCGTGATTTCGATCGTTTTCGCCGATAACGGCCCCGCAAATTGCACTATTTGGAAATAATGCTACCGCATACGGAAGATAGCACATACTTAATTGGATACGACTATTACATATTTTTATGTAAATTAATTGCAAAGATTCGTATATTAGGGGAGTAACTTGTGTGATTTCTGATAGAGTCAGGCGATTAATTTCCGCATGAGTAGTCTTCATATTTTATTAAATATTCCAACCGCTCTTAACTTTGTGCAAGGACGACGTATGCATGAGTGCAATAAGAAGCACATTTTGCTATCACAAGCAGGGCTGCCGATACTCGGACTCACATTTCGCGAATTTTTTACTCACACGCTACTCACCAATCTAAAATTTACTCACTTGCTTCTCACTGATCGCGATTTTACTCACTTTTACTCACCGTTCTCAATTCTACTCACTTTTTACTCACCATTTCCCGATTTTACTCACATTGACATTGTTTTCACTCACCGATTACTCATCGTTTTAAATTTTACTCACCGATTACTCACACAAATTGCGCCAAAAATGGAGAATTACTGAGAATTACCCATGGATTTTGCATTACTCACGATTACTCACGGATCGTCGGATTACTCACCAATTACTCATTACTCACGTTTTACTCACCGGTGCTCAAATTACTCACGATGTGAGTAATTACTCACGAATCGGCAGCCCTGATCACAAGAGGCCTTTGAATGCGCTCTGGATTTTTCAATGGCTATAGGTCTGGATGCAACTATTCGTGTCCTTGGGATGTCCGTGTTGCATACACGAAAAATTGCGGGCGCTCTGGTTTTCTTCACCAAAACGCATAGCTGCAGTCGTTAAGTCTCAAGGATTCACTACATTACATTTACAATCGTGTTTATTATGAAATCCTTTACATTCGGATAAGTCTTGCAGTACCATAGCAGCGTTGCCAAAGGTTGCGCAAATTTTCCACCAAAAACATGTCCACAAAAGCATCGCGGATGTCAATCCCGATTACTACCGACAACATTTCCGCAATGGAGAATTTGCAGGTGTCTAAAATTGTGTAAATTTCATGTTTAAAATGAAACTGCTAAGAAAACTGAGCACGAAGATATCCTTGGTTTCTAAATTGGACAATTTATGGAGAAAATATGACAGAATAACCTAGTTTGCTAAAATACATGTGTTTAAATGGAAAATGCCGCCAGATGATGTCTCATGGCGGCACATTTTCTCATTTTTAAATCTATTTTTCTCCGATTTCCCATTTCAGAAAAAAATTATGAAAAATACTGCGAACTCAGCTTATGGAGCACCCTCTAATGAAGCAATAAAATTTTTGTGTGCAAATTCTCCATTTGCACCATTTTGGTACGCTGCTACGGCGCTACACGATTAATCCATATTTCGAGGATTTCTTGGTAAACACTCTTGTTAATGTAACGCAGAAAACCCTTTAGAATAAACAACTGCAGATATACGTTCGGTTGAAGAAAACCGGAGCGCCCGCAATTTTTTGTGTATGCAACATGGACATCCCAAGAACACGAATAGTTGCATGTAGACCTAGCCATTGAAAGAACCGGAGTGCTTTCAATTTTGTTTCGCTTGTAATAAAAAAAAATATGTTGCTTATTGCATTCATACGTCATCGTTACACGGAGTTTAGGACGGTTTAAGTATTTAATCTTATTGAAAGAAATAAA